TATCATCCCCCCACTTCCTAGTTGGGTACCTGAAGCCTAACAAATAACCTCGAAAAAGCACATTTACCCCACAGACCCTCAAAGCCGAACGAGAGCATGTCCGGGCCTGTTTCCATTGGCCTCGCCGTTCCCCTTCCAGTGTCGAGGACTGAGCCAGGGATGAACTAGCATTGAGAAAAACGATGTACCCGTCTGAGGCACAGGCAAATGCAGGATCTGTTGGAACCACTTCTGGTCCCCAGCCAATCCCATATAGCATAGCTTTCTGGAAGATATGCCATCAAGTTTGAATCTCCTGGAGACTCGACATCAATAAGTGGTCTTATGGGCCAGAAAACTTAGCACAGAATAACCCGGTCTAGGCACACTTTCTTCAAATCATCTTTGAGGAAGCTCATAAGAACATCCAAGGTCGCGGGGAATTGCGTGCCGATCTTCTTGTTCTTTTGCATCGCCCGAGTGAGAACCGTTTGACCAGTAAGGCATGCGAGGCACAGGCGAGTCTTCAAAGTGTCCTAGGTGAGCACGAGCGAATTGCATGACCAAACAAGCGGACACAACAGCTTCATTGCCAACAAGGCTCACCCGAATGAGTATAAGGAAATGACATATTGATAACAAGCACGTTCTTGGACTTTTGGCCAGGACCCTCATCGCCGTGCAGACGAAAAGGGAGATCATCAGGCCCTGTCGTGATAAGAACCCTTTTATTTAGAGTTAAGGGCTTAGGGTAATTTCGAGGTTAGGGTACAAGACCTCCAGTGTAGCCGACGTCGCCGTTCTGCAAAGTGCTGCTCAACCTGAGCTGCTCGTATCTGTCAGAAGCGAAGTAGCTCCTGCAAACTAGCCTAGTGCACCTGATCCTGACTTACAAACCAAGCAGCAGCTCGCGATCTTGCGGCGTAGAAGAACCAAAGCAGATGGCTTGCAATAACCAAGGCCGCTTCTCCAACCACGACATGTAGGAGCTCGGAAGAACGATACCTTAAGTTGGTTAAGGAAGGTTGTGCGGAAAACTACAAGAGCATGAACGTTCGACGATGGAAGTTTGAACAAGTCTCTGCATGGTTTCTCAACCACAAGTTTCTTCTTCTTCTTCGACACCAGCAGCGGCAACTTGATTTTCGATACCTTTGGTAATGATCGTGCGAAAAACTCGTGGAATCGCTTCTCTGTTCTCCTCCCAGCCAGCTTCTTGGTGATCCAGTGCATGTTGTTGCCGCTTTCGGTTTCAGCGGCTGAACACAAGTCGCTTATCCAGTTCACATCAGCATTCTTTTTTTGTAGAGCAGCGACAGCAGTATTCGATAGAGATGCATTCGCCAGACTCTGCAGCCTGTACGGCAGTGCTTCTTGCTGGGGCACATAAAGCTTGTCCAGGGTTACAGGAGAGCTCGATGCAGCAGCATTTTTCGCATCCAATCGTCGTTGTAAGTCTCGCCGCCTCGGAGCTGGACGTTTCCTGCGATAGGGCGGTGCATTTTAACCTAGCTAGCGGGTTCAGGGTTCAGGATTTAAGGTGTTCCCTATATATATGGGGTGAAAGTTCATTAGTTTTACGGCTTATGTAATGTGAAGCTTACGGCAGGTCGGAAGGAGTCCTCTTCGGCTCGGGTGCCGGGACGTCGAGGCCTGCGTGGGGAGCTGTGCTTCTAAGCTTGTAAAAGCCAGAGGAAGACACGGAGAGAAGAGAGTGGAGAGGGGAGAGAGGAGATCGAGAGAGAGAGAGAAAGAGACAGAGAGAGAGGGAGACCGAGGCAGTGAGAGAGCACCAACGAGTGCAAGGATTCAACAGAACCAAATGAGCTCATGTGCAAGCAAAAACCTGAGATGATCTTTCGTCTCCGTCCGACGGAGGAGTCGCAGCGTGCTGCAAACCGGTGGGCAGCAGGCTGAGTCACAAATCTTGCGATCATGATTGTGTTCTAGCTCCTAGCAGCCCGTGCCTCTTCCCAGTGCACAGCTCACTTGTTCAAAAACCAGCACGAGCTAGCTTGGATAAAGCTGGTGGGCAACAAGCACACATAGACACATATATAGGTGCGGGAATGCAGACTATATAGAAGCGGTATGTAGAGCAAGTGCCTCGTAAGCCCAGCTTATCCTTCTAGAATGATCAAAAACCATCAAGTAGCTGCTAGCTGCTAGTTTGCTGCGGATAGACCAGAGCATTTACAGGTTGGCTCTTAATCATGCCCGGATATTGTGTTAACTGCTGCAGCCAGCATCAAAAACCGAGTGCATATGGTGCACGAAGTTCCCGGGAAGCACGACTGTTGGACACAGCATCCGAAGGTTCATCGGTTTGCCAGTGGTACATGTGTGTAGCTCACAGTACATCAAGTGCCCATCCCAGAATCAATCACAAAAGCCAGCCATATTGCTAGCTGATAAAGATCCAGCTGCATGTCGGGCCGAGCGAAACCCTGCACTTCATATGGAAGCTAGCATGTACCGTGACTAGGGATTGCAACGTCTCGGTCCGTGGCACAGCACATGCAGCAGTGGGGCCAACTTCACTCATGCCTTCTTGTTTGTATGCACCTTGGCCACACCCAAAGCAAACTCCTGCAGTTGCGGATGCGATTGCAGGTAGAACACATTCACACTGCCACGAGTCGTATTTCTTCAAGCTCCTAACATATGGTTGCTATGTGTCTCTCACTCCCTCGCCATCTCTCTATCTATTTATATCTCTATCTGTCTCTCCTTCTCTCTCTCTCTCTCTCTCTCTCTTAGATTTGTGCGTGTTTTGGGTTCTCGCTTGTTTTTTCTCTCTCTCTCTCTCTCTCTCTCTCTCTCTCTCTCTCTATCTCTCTCGCTCTCTTTCACTCTCACTCTGTCACCTTCTCTTTGTATGTACGACACTGGGACAGACTTTGCCATTGAATGATGTGACAGCAGACAGGGTCCTCTTTTGCTGGCACACACCAAGAAAGCCCTTGCCACCTCCTGCCAGGGTTTAAGGTTTAGGCTTTTGGAAGGGGAGAGGGATGGATAGAAAACATGTATATGCGTACACAGCGAAATGGCCTTTAGATGCTCCTGCCATTCGGCCTCGTCAACGGTTTCGTCGAGATTCTTTAAGGCCTGCTACACCATCTGATAACACATACTTGTATGTATGGATGAGTGCATATGCAGAACATACAGACATAGCCCAAAGGCCTTGTACTTCTCCTCGAGCCCAGTTTTGGCCTTTAACAACGAATCCATAACAGCACTGGCATCCTCGAGGTCTTGAAGCTGAAGTTGCAGACGTGCAACCAGGCCGACCTGCCGGGGTCGATTCCACAATTGGGGTTCTGAGTACGTGCTGCACTGTTTAAAGTCCCACCTTGGCAAGCACCTCCTTCTCCATATTTTTTTTCGTTTCGGCTCGGTTGAACCGCGGGAGGGCTTCTTTCAAATCGCTGCTTCTGCATTTTGTCAACTCGAATATTCCGGTTTTCATGGCCGCCGGAGCTTTCGATTTCGCCTTCCCTTTGGCCTTGGCTGTCGCCTTCGCAGAAGCTTTCGCTTCTCCTGCAAAGCCACCCGACCCGATAACAATCAAGGCATCGTAAAGTCGTATTAGCCTGCAGCAGCACTCTCCGTAATGGCAGCCGGCGTAGGCGTAGCTGTCGTAGACTCATGGCACCTGAGATAGGTATGCAAACAGCTATTCTGGAAGGGTCGAGGATGGTTTTATGAATAGGGATATCAGACGGACAGGTTAGGGTTTGGAGTTTTTAATGTAGGGTTTTGTTGCTAGGGTTTGGGCTTTAGTTTAAGGGTTTTTCGAAGAAAGAGAACCAGAACGAAGCGAAGCCAACGAATTGCCACTAAGTCGCAGTTCTGAGAACAGCTTTTTGGCTTCCGGTCTGTTGTCGGAGGCAAGTGGTTTGATGCTTGCCTCGATCTCGCGACGTTTTTCGAAGAGCTCAGTCTCGGAAAACTCTGTGAAGATATTGTACAGCAGGTTCCCCGAACCAGCAGGGAAGTTCGGATCGTCCCGGCAGCCTTAAGTAGACCAACATGCACAACTTTTTGGGTTGTGGCTCGATTGGACTGAGATCCTTACGGCCTTGCTGGACAGCAAAGTCAATGGCATCCTTCGCTTTCTGTTCGTTGGGGGCGTAGTGCGTGAACACCTGTTCTCTCGTCAAAGACTGCTTTGTCTTTTTTTCTTGCCTGAGCTGAGCACATGAAACGAACGAGGGAGCCCAATGAGCCCAAAAATTCTAAACATTGACTAAGCTGCTCAACCATCATATCCTTCAAAATGATCCCCACCGTGACCTTGTTCACGTCCTGTCCACTCGCCATGTACTCCTTGATCATATCCTTCCTCACATCACCACCCGTCCTCCATGCTTGAAGGATCTCCAGCGTGCATCGGTGAGGGTTTTTCGTAAGCCGGCGGACCGTCTGGATCGCTGCGGCCGCTTCTTTTCGTGCCACTGTGTTCGCCTCGGATCACTAGATGTATGTTGTTTGGTGGCTGCTCAAAGTTTCGGTTTGATTATTCTCATATATATATACACACATACATGTATACCCCTAGTAATAGTTTATTAATGTATGATGTTATATAACTGTCTATATATATATATATACAAATATTTATACTCCTCAGAGAAAAACTTAAGGTTTCAGGATTTAGGTTTAGGTACTATAATAGATTGGTCTAGGCACTTCATCAGCAGCAGTCGGTTCACTCGTCGAAGTCTCGGGAGGAGCAGCTGCTGGGATCGTTGTCGGAGGGGTCGCAGTGCCCTGAGGTGGGGGTGGGCCCTGAGGCGGGGGTGGGATCGGCGAAGCAGGTGTTGCGGCCGGGGTCGGCGAAGGAGCGGGGTTCGCATTTGTTGCGGCCGGGGCCGGCGAAGCACTGGGGTTCGGAGTTGCTGCGGGCGGGGAGTTTGTCGAAGCACTGCTGCCCAAGGCCAAGAGCTTTTGTCGCATGGCCTCATTCTTCCTTTGGATTTCATCCAACTTCGCCTTCTTCGTAGCATTTGCAACCTCCCTTTTGAGCCTTTCCTCCTCCTCGTGTTCCTGTTTGAGTTGTTTCGAAAGTGGCGATAGATCCAAGCTCCGGCTCGGTGCTGCTCGTGTGGGGCTGTGTGCACGTTTGAAGTTGCTCGTGCCGATTGTCGGTGGCGTCTCCCCCGTCAGCTCCTGGAGCCGTTGCCTCATTCTTCGGATTTCATCCTCAACAGCTGCTTGCCGTTTCTTTTCGGTGTCTGCTGCTTCTGCTGCTGCTGCCTCTTGTGCTTTCTTAGCTGCTTCTGCTGCAAGTGCTTCCTCTCGGCGTTTCTTCTGGGCATCAGCTGCTTCTATCTCTGCGGCTAGTGCTGCTTCGAGCCTTTTCCTCTCGGCTTCTGCTGCTGCTGCTTCCTGTCTTTTCTTTTCGGCTTCTGCTGCTGCTGCTTCCTGCCTTTTCTTTTCGGCTTCGTCTGCTGCTGCCTGTCTTTTCCTCTCGGCTTCTGCTTCTGTTGCTTCTTGTCTTTTCTTCTCGGCTTCTGCTGCTGCTGCTTCTTGTCTTTTCTTCTCGGCTTCTGCTGCTGCTGCTGCTGCTGCTCTGCTTCTTGTCTTTTCTCCTCGGCTTCCTGTGCTGCTGCTGCTGCTTTTCTTTTCTTCTCGGCTTCTTCTTCTGCTGCTGCTGCTGTGCCATGCGTAGTGGCCTCTAGCTTCTGCTTAGCAATGCGGGCCACAGCTTCTTCATATAGTTGTTTCAGCGTAGCCTGTTCTTGTTCAAGTGCCTGCATCTTGCTATTGCTTTCAGGCTCAGAAGCCTGGGCGGAAGCTGCGGCGTCCTGACGGACGATGCTCGGGCCACTGCTTAGCTTCGGTACTGAGGGGCGGGTCAGGGTACAGGATTGAATCGCAGGGTGCAATTATTAATAAGAGTTGAAGCTACAAGCTTCAGGATTGTTGACTACACTCCTTTATGGCTCGGGGCTTTAGGACTTTGGTGTTCGTGGTTTCCGGTCTTTGGGGTATTTGGAGAGGGGCATAGGGTTTAGAATCTAAGCTGTTTGTGTGTCTATCAGAAAGCTAAAGCATGTGTCACAGTATATCTGCAATCGGCCTCTAGTATAATTAAGGAACCGCAGCACACCCTTTTCGTTTGGTTGTGGTAAGTAAGGTTCAGGATTTGGGGCACGTAGTTGTGCCGGGCACATGTGTCCCAGCCTCTTCGCTCATAAGCCTTTCCAACTCCTTTTCCAAGTCGTCATCGTCGAAGTCGTTGGCAGCGGGTGCCGGTGTTCCATCCCAGGGCTGTGTGGCTTGCGAGTCCTCTGCAGTAGCCTTGGCTATAAATCTAGAAGCACACATAAAGCCTTACGAGCTCCCGAAGCCAGGCATGAGATGACTTCATAGCCAAGTCTCGACACCTGAATCCAAGCCCCGATCAGCCTGTCACGTACCAGCAGATATTATGTGATCTCGTATATGTATATGTATATGTGTAAACATTATATGGCAGCTCAGAAACACAGGCCTCCATTAGCTCCACCTTTGCAGCTCGAAGCTCAGCCTGCGGCGAGGTTGTTAATTTAAGGGCTTGAGATTCAATATATTTTGGGGGTTGTAATATTAAAGGCTCCACAAACTATAACCTTTGTGTGAGTGGCCTGTGCTTGGCGGGCCGTGTCGCCGTCGGGTGGCCGCCTTAACTCGAAATCATCGACCACACCTCTAGGTGGCTTGTGTTTCCATAAGGTACGAGCCGTCCTGATTCTGCCATCGGATCCGTGGAATTGGGGCCCAGATCCGAGTACTATAGCGTGTACGGTTACGTACGGCTTTTGTACGGGTACGGTTCTTTCTTCGTTGACTATGGCGTACGGATACGTACGGTTGTGTACGGTTGCCTCTGTTCGTGGAAAGTAGTGTAAGCCATCAAACCTCAGCATGCGAAAAGACCCTGCTTGAGCAACTGGATCTGCCAAGCAGCGATATTCTGCACCCAGCCGTACAGGAAGCCTCCAAATTATGCATAATAGATGCAGACCACTAGTGCACTACCAGGCGAAATCCGTACCCGTCTAAAGCCGTAAATGAACACACAACCGGTACCCGTACAAAGGCGTACAACACCGTACTTCCTATAGCTCACAACACCTAATACGTGCAACCGTACATCCTGCACTAGGACACAAAAAACCGTACCCGTACAAAAGCGTACAAAACCGTACATCCTGCACTAGGACACAACAACCGTACCCGTACACAAGCGTACAAAACCGTACATCCTGCTTTAGGACACAAAACCCGTACCCGTACACAGGCGTACAAAACCGTACATCCTGCACTAGGACACAAGAACCGTACCCGTACAAAAGCATACAAAAGCGTACATCCTGCACTAGCACACAAAACCCGTACCCGTACACAAGCGTACAAAACCGTACATCCTGCTTTAGGACACAAAACCCGTACCCGTACACAAGCGTGCAAAGCCGCGAAAGAGATGTGCATCGGATGTGTTTAAACCAGGCCAAACAAATCACCGAGCTGAAGCCAAGATCCTTAAGACGGACAGAAAAACAGACATTGTGGTTTTGAAGCCTCTCCATCGAACTAGCCAGATGCCTGAACTAGAACCGAAACAAGCAATTTTGGTTCGAACTTGCAAGTCTAGTCGGAGTTCAGCAAGACCAGGTCTTCGGAAAGTTGCTGTCGGTCATCGACAGGCGAGGCAGCTACTGCAAATCTGGCAGAGGTCCTGCGAAAATTAGGTCGGTATCATTCAGAAGTGAATGGTCATATTAATCTTGCCCAGGACCCAGCAACGACGGTATAAAGTGCCCAGCACTAGCAGGCGAAACCCGTACCGTACCTGCTGAAGCCGTGAGTTAACACACACACCCGGTACTATCTACAAAAGCGTACACAACCGTACATCCTGCTCTAGGACACAAAGGCCGTACCCGTACACAAGCGTACAAAACCGTACATCCTGCTTTAGGATACAAAACCCGTACCCGTACACAGGCGTACAAAACCGTACATCCTGCACTAGGACACAAGAACCGTACCCGTACACAAGCGTACAAAACCGTACATCCTGCTTTAGGACACAAAACCCGTACCCGTACACAGGCGTACACAACCGTACATCCTGCTTTAGGACACAAAAACCATACCCGTACAAAAGCGTACAAAACCGTACATCCTGCTCTAGGACACAAAGGCCGTACCCGTACACAAGCGTACAAAACCGTACATCCTGCACTAGGACTCAAAACCCACATTCGTTTGTGTATACATGGCTTCCCTGTCTTCTTGACTGACACATGTATTAGGATGTGTGCGTATATACACGGTTTGAGGTTTTGTGTCCGTAGGATGTACACTGGAAGCACACAGCTTGCATGCATGATTGCAGAGCTGGGCCTGGGATCTGGGACGGTCATTTAAAATTGGAGAAGTTGGCTGAGTTGTGTCAAACTGCTTCAAGGCTTCGTGGTATGTGAAAGTATACGTACTAAGTCCAGAGTTAGGCTTTATTCTTAAGGCGTACGAGTATACACAAACAAGGTGTCTAGCAGTCGTAGCAAGGAAGATCAGAAGCTGGGCCTTTATCCTCAAATCTCTACTATATATGAAACCTGACCGAAACGTTGCCCGGGTGTCAGGGTTTCGAGACTAAGCCCCAGTTACCCGGAAAAGAAGACACTTCTTAATTTCATAATATATCTTTCTAGAGAGTCCTAGCCAGGCTACCGAACCAAATGCATGAAAGACTTATTAACCCAGCTCTGCACGAAACATTGGCAGGTCGCATCCGACTGAAGCGGTCAGCAGCCCAAAGCTTGGAGTACGAGTGGCTTTAGGGCTAGGGTACAGCTGCTCAGCTGAGCAAGCTATCCTTTCAATCCAGGATATCTACAATCAATAGTTTATGACTAGCATCTATGCCCACAAATAATATGTAGCAAGACTACTGGAGTGGAAGATGCCCGGGGTATATTCCCACCTATAGGTTAGGATTAAAATTATTCGGCGGTCTGTAGGAGTTGGGCTTTGGATCTCACAGCAAGGCTCTTCTGTCAGATTGGAAACCACGATCCAACATAGAGTCCTGCGGGCAGGCAGGTAATGATTTCCGAACACCGACGTGCGTCGGCCTGGCTGTGGCACTCGAGCTCGCTTTGCAACGAATCATGCCAATCGGTCCTTGCCCTTGCCCCCCGTGCTTTGCCACCCCTGGCATGTGTCGTAGGGATATAGAGGCCATGTCAAGACCAGAAGGAAGCGGCCGGGGGTTTGTTTTGAAGCGTTTCGTAATTCTAGATTTTGTTTGCGGGACGAAGCGATAATCCTCTGCATGACCACTATAAGTCTAGTTTGCTACCAAGTAGCTTAAGGATGGGGAATCCAGAAACCGGGCCTGGACTCGAAACCACAAAGCCTCGAACCTCAAGATCAGGGTTTAGCGTGCAAGCTGGAACCAAACTCCCGACATTATGGTAGTACTCAAACACGACACCCCAAACCCCTTAAGCCCCTAAACACCGAAACCCCTAAACCTTTCAAGCCCCCAATTAAACTGCCAACAGATGCCAAACCCCGAACCCAAAAGCCGAAAAGAGTTTGGGCCCTGTGTTTTGGATCCCAACCCGGCGTATGAACCCGGTCGAAGGTGACCTCTCCCTCGGCTTCGATAAAGCACTGCAGGCTGCCTCCTCGATCCAGGGTTTAACTGTTGAACCAGGAAAGGGGGTCTCGATAAACCGGAGGTTCGGGGCGGCGGACAGCAATTACGTGCAATGGGCGGGGGTGTGATCTAAAGGGCCCGGGGCTTCCTAGGCTCTTCGAGTGAGAAGAAGTTCATGGATGAAGGTTCAGGATATTTGGGGCTGAGATTATTTTTTAAGGTTCAGGGCAGCGTGGAGAGGGGCACGGGTTTCGGATGTTTAGCACTTAGCACAGGTTCAAGCACCAACAAATTTGATGAGCTCGCAGGCTCATATGACCTACTTCAGAAAGGCTTTGACTAATAATTAGCCCGATATTCAAGAGTAGGCTAGCTGCTACGAGTAAAGCTCAATGAGGCTAGCGACTAGTCTTACCTCGGACAGTCAGGATTTCAGGCTGTGGGTTAAGGGCTAAGATTTAGGTTTCCATACCAAAAAGAAATATGTGAACATTCGCCGTGTAGCAGGATCCTCATAATAGTTTGAACAATGCAAGTACTAGCGGCAACAGTTACAAGAAGGAGGAAGTCTAAGCAACTCGTCCATAGCATAAAAAGGTACTTGGATCCGACAGACACGTCGTGAAAAAAACCCTGGTCCTGGGTCCTGATCTAGATCGAAATGGCAGCCCCACCACGTCCTGGGCCGGGCGACGGAAGGAGTACGGGACCCTAAGAGTCTCAACCACTAATCTGTTGGGAGAAAGACAATCCCCGAGTTATACCATATATTAAGTCGTGGTTAGATTTTTGCGAAGTGAACTTTTGGGCAGGATAAACCCCACGAGTGCAGCTCGGTCGTGCGAAGCCCCAGGATACCAACAATCCACGAACAAGGCATTCCCGTAGTTCTGTGGCTCTACTTTCCATACGTGACCTGATATATTTGCATCAGAGCCCCAGCACCAATATATGGATATTCGGGGTGATGGGGGTTGCGACTGTACAGAACCCAAGCTCAACTGCTGCAAACTTGATTGGAGTACATCCTGCACTAGGACACAAAGACCATACCCGTACAAAAGCGTACAATTTCGTACATCCTGCACTAGCACACAAAATCCGTACCCGTACACAGGCGTACAAAACCGTACATCCTGCACAAGGACACAAAAGCCCTACCCATAAACTATGGCGTTAACTAATACAGCAGTAAATCCGCCAAGACACAACACCTGTATCTCTACAAAAGCTTCTTGTCCAGTAGCCCTAGGAGACATCATACGAAAGCGTACATAACCGTGCATGCTGTGATTAGATGCTTGGACAGAAAAACCGGCCCTGATATAGAAGCCTAGGGAACGTTTCCTCTTCCACTGCTAGCTGGGATATAAAACACGTGCCAACACAAATTAAAGCGTTCACTGAATGTAGAAGAAAGACACAAAGCGAAGCCAGGAAACCTTTGTCGATGAGCATCAGCTCGAAGCCAGAGCCATTGCGGGGCACCTTGGTTTACGGTTTGGGGTTTAAGGTTTGGGTTCATTTGAGGACGGGACTAGCTGACTAGCTATTGTATGTCAGACCGGGCACAGGATGAGGAAGAGCAGCTCGCCATTGTTCGGAGGCATGCACCAGAGTCTAGGATGTCCCAATTGCACTCCAGACGGAGTCTTGGATCTAGTTTTTGATATCCCTTTATCGTCAACCTATGCTCTATAAGGTCAAACCATCAGCTCCTATGCCTATCTCGGCGTGAAGGCCTGCGAAAGACAGGGGTTTGCATGCAAGGTTTCGACTGCACATGAGCATCTGAGTCAGCTCTAGCAGGATCAACAGCAGTGCAGTGGCATGCGGGGCACACCTCTGTCATTCTCGCAGGATCGCTTGCGAGCTGAGGATGCTGAAGCTGTACCTGCCACCGGCTGCACAGCCTATGTACCGTACCGTTACATAGTGTCCATACAGCCAATCGCAATATAGTGGCACTGTGCGTGCAGCTGTTTGCTCGCAGTAGCATGAATCCGCCTGTCCCAGCTATAGCTCGATCAGAGGGCGACCCAGCTGGAGCGGACTTTGAACCATATAGCAGCTAGTGCAGCCTAGGTAATATCTTTACACTACATATTAATACTGGGAGCCAACGGATCGTCTGCATCGATCGTCTGCACCGGAAGGCACGTGTAAAAAAAGGCGAGCCACGACTCACATGTCCGGGACCTGCAGGGAAGTAGAACTTAGGGTTAAGTTTAAGCGAAAGGTTTTGATTGTTTTCGGTTGCGAAAGGGGGTTTTAAAAACATGTGACACCTACTTCCGGGCTGTGATGATTACCTAAGTTATATCAGAATATTGAACCCTACCCTTAATATATCAGACCACCCCAGTCTCATACTTCAGACCCACCCACATATCGACACATACCCTCCGAGATGCCTTGACCTTAAAGCCTTGCCCCTAAATCCTGTCTCGACTGGTACGGGTACGAACTCGGCCCGGCCTCGTGCAGCAGAAATGCCACTGCCATATCGTGACAGAAGATTTCAATTTCTGTCTGATCAGTCATCGTGCTGAGGCCCTGCTCGGACACATATGCCAGGAACTTTCGCTCGGCTTTGTCTTTCGCCATCGCGACTTTTCCGGACAAATGCCTTAGACGGTTAGGTCAGCACGGAAGGCTTTCAGTAGCTCACGAGGGCCGTGCAATGAATGTGTTAGATTAAAATCAAGCAGGACACTCCTGGAAAGCTTCAGCAGCAAACTTGAATCTCCAGAGAAACGGCGTGGTTGTCGGCGGCGGGCGACCGGCGAAAGTCTTGTTGGGCTCCTCCGGAGCCTTTTTTCCTTTTTTCTTCTTCTTATCCTCCTCATCAGCCGGAATCGTGTCCCCGCTGGCCCTTTTCTTGGCATTGCCCTTGGAAGTATCCAATCCTTGCTCCTCCTTTTCCTAGGTTGGGACAAACACTAAAGAATGCACACCCAGCAGATGTTGCAATCTATTGAGAAGAGGGTCGGCGGCAACGGCATCTGGATGCACAAAATTTCTCTGCTCCACTAAAGCTTCCATCGTAGCCAGATCGGTTTCACTGGAACTATCATCCAACGTGATGGCATCCTTGGCTTATGGAAAATTGAAACCATATGATGCTACTCGATATTTCTGAGTATTAGGCATGCTTAGCCCCAGACGGACCCAAAGATCTTCAAATGAGCCTCTGCGTACTTCTGCTGGGCAGCCTGAGTTGGATTCATACCACCAGAGAGCAGGAAGCCTTTTCCTGAACCCAACTATCGCCAAGAACCTCCCGAGCTGTAGTACATGAAGACGAGCTCGGCACCGACTGCCTCAATGGATATATTATCCCAGAAAACTTCCACAAATTTGCAACAAGACCGCTAAATAATTGCAACCAATATTCGGCCGATTTATCGGATCTTCAGGCGGATCGCGATCTCCGGACTCACGATCTCCATCGCCCGCATTGGGCTCACGATGTCCATCGCCCGCATTGGGCCCACGATCTCCATCGCCCGCCTTGGGCTCACGATCTCCATCGCCCGCCTCGGGCTCACGATCTGCAGGATCGCTAGACTGCGGCTCCTTGGACTTCCACTTCGGTCGAGGTTTCAAAGCCGAACGTCGGGGCTGTCGTGGCGGACTGGCATCAATCATCTCTGGAGAACTCAAGCATCCCATCAGGTCCTCAACCTCCTCAGCCGTAAAACGGCTCAAGTCACCAAACTGCTCCTCCAGCTTTTTGTTCCTTAAATGGTTCCGAATCAGTTTCCGTGTGCGTGCTGCGAGTTTTCAGCTGGAGACCTTTTGCGAATCCAAGCGACCTCGTTGCAGGTGCTGAAGAGCTCCTGAGATGCAGAAATTACACAGCACCTACGGTTCAGTAATGGGCACATGACAAAATCTAGCATGCCCGCACACATGCAACAATAAATTTATGTGAGCCACGATGGCTCTGGCGGCTCTGGCTCTGGAGAAGCCATTAACTCTTCAATCTCATCCCAGTCAGGCGGAGCTTCATTATCAATCTCGTCAAGCATAGCATCGATCTCTTCGCCAACCTTATTGCGGCCCGTCTTAGGCTTCTTTTTCTTCTGCAGCCAACCATCCATCCTCGGACGGAGAAAAGATCAGGCCAAACGACCACAAATCTCGGCATGTTGATATGCACTAATGCAGCTGGACACTTCGCTTTCAATCGATCCAGTCGTTCGTTGTGCGAAGACCTAGCTGGGCTTATGTAGACTGATACTTTGAAAGGTCGCGTATGACCATGACACTGTGTATGGCCTAGCCACTCTGTCTTTGCTCGCAGCCGGCGTACTTTTGCACAGCCTTTCTTCAGAAGGCCGGCTATAACTTTGCGATCCATCTCCGGCAATTTCCCCGAAGCCGCATTGTCCACCTTGCTTTGATCAGCGGGGCTTTGTTCTACTGAGCTTGCATATATCTATATATATGTGTGTATATATATATATATATATGAAATTTGATTTCAAGGCACTGCGACTTCGAAAACTCGGGGGGCAGGAACCTGGTTCACCACCACATATCCTCGGAAGGTCAATTCCACAGCACAACATATCTCGACCAGGGAACAAGACGTACGAAACCAACAATATATCCAAGGGACGGAGGGATTCCAGCACACTGTCGAGGACGGAGAAGCCCTCGTGTTCGATCCAGTCTGTGGGCAACGAGCTCTTCGGGTGGGCGAATCTCATAGCGTTCGGCCACATTTGCCCAACACCTCACCGTATTTATGTACAGAGCACGGAATACATCACTGGATCTCAGCGTAAGCACGAAATGTTCTGAGCTGAGAGCTTTTCAAAGGACGTAGAATTGGCTTGAGAGCCAACGTTATTGTCTTCACCACCTACAGTCTAGCTGGGCCACACCGTGCATGCTGTGCTCCTCGATCTGTCCTTGAGTTAATTTGCAAGCGAGCCACATCTTCCTCGGGGGATAGAGACACTTGTGCAGGATCGGCGCAAGGATTCTCCTCCTCTACGACAACTTATTTTTATGGAAAGTGCAGGAATCTGTCCCAGGAGTCCTCAGTCTCCATGGCTGCTGATTTTCGAAGAAAACACGAACACGAACCCAGTATTTTCAAGCTTCTGTGGCTTTGCCAGCGACCCGAAGGCCGAACTTCTACATCGATCTGCTCTATGACTCTAATCATAAGGAATTCCTCACATGCTCCGGTCCGTATGAGCCATGAGCCAGACTGCGATCCAACGTCATTTAGCCTGCTGCTCACACAGACTCACTCGGGCACAGCAGGGGCACTTGGAGCACCTGGCTTTGGCAAGACCAGCTTCAGCAGCTGGTTCATCCGCCATGATGCATTCAGCACGTAACGGCATTATTTAAATCACGATATGCCCTGGCCCTTTAATGAATTGCTGCAAAAGGCTATAGTCTGCAGGTCTTGAGTCTCACGAATCTCGCATGGACTGACTGAGCCAGCTTCCGTGCAATCACCAGTTCCCGCTCACATCGATGCCCGCTTATGTGAACGAGAATATATGATGCTTATATGAATATCGTGAATAGAAGGCGGCTCCTATTGGAGCACCGACTATCCACATATATGGGGTTTAGGGAGTAGACAGGAAGAATCCCTATTGGGGCACCACCTGTCCACATATAAAGGAAATTAGGGTCTTTTTTTCTCAGCGAGTTTGAGCCAACCTGCAGCTGTACAGCAAACATACAGAAACCGTCTAAAAATATTGCTTCCGCTGGCCCCTGAGTGCCTGAACTCTGTACGTTTGTCCCCAAATATAGGGCTCACGGCGTCACAGATCGATACACCAAAGCTTGACAGCAGGCCTTTGGTTCCAAAAAATGCAACCGTCACTCTTTTTTCGGTGCTGCCATCCAAAAAAAGGCCTTTGCCCCAAATCGGTGCGAGTTGCATTTTTTTTTGGCGCCCGAGACTTCTCCGGGTTCGTGGCTTCGCGAATAGTGCAGAGTCACAGGCACAACGGCGGCCACCGCCCATGATGACCTTCGACCCCGCAACGCGGGAGGTCGAATGGGATCACTTCAAAGAGCAATTGGGCAAACAGTGGCGCGGTCTCCGGTCGGAAGATGTCATGGAAGTGGTGAAGTATGGGAACCACGACAAAGATGACAACGGACGCTTTGAGTTGCGCGTCCTCCACTTCATCGACCACACTGAGATTCATGGAATCCGTGCATTCCAAGGGCACTGCCGCGATCTCATCTCTGACGAGACTGATCTTGTGGATATGCACAGTGACAGCTATGCTTTGTGTGACGACTACAGGCCCACCATGCATACGCGCCCTGCCGTAGGGGTCACTGGCCAAATCCACAACGACTGGGTCAGAATGCATCCGATCGGATACCATGCAACATATTGGAGCAATTTTTCCAATATTGTTAGTACCGGTCTCATCCCAGGCGGTGTCACCCTCGGCGGAAGCACGGGGAGAGCCTTCACAATGATGGCTTCCCTCCCTCAGTGGGAAAGGCCGAACAACGCAGGCCTGCGACCTGGCGCTGAGGTTGAATTCGCTATCGACCTCCAACTCGCGTGCCTGGAAGGGTGTCGCATTCTCCTGACAAAGAACAATGTTCTGCAGACCCCAGATTGGTTGTCCAATCGCTACCTTATGTTTGCTTACGATCGCAGAACCGGGAAACCCGTATGGTTTAACCGCTCGTACGAGCTCACGCGAGCTCGGGTGTCCAAAGCCCGTGAGGCATATGTCAAGCGTCAGGAGATCCTGCCGGTCTTTAACCAAGACCTCATCGAACGCGCAGCGGAAGCTGACGCCAATTGCATCATGGATTACGTTGATCTCTGTTACCCGATCCACAATGAAAATTTGGACTGGGTTGAGTTCTTGGGTATGTTCATGGACATGCAGAAGCCCTCGCACTTGCGTGAGGTTGAGCAGTTTCATGTCGATGGTCGTACCATCTGCTTTGAGCAGGGTAGTCCGCTGGAGGGAACTCCGTGCGAATGGACTTTGGATGCCCAGGTCTACTTGTCGCCCATCGGATTGACCACCGAGCGCCCGTTGCGTGTGGAGCGCAAGCACTACTCAGTGTGCCTCAACGTGCACTTCCCAAAGCTGCGCTGCCCTGATGATAGGTGCAGGTCTCAGATGCTTGACGGCTATCTCAATTGCCCCCGCTGCCAGCGAAAGTTGTTCAACCCGAGCGACATCTCCCACATTGCGGAGCTGGCTGATCTGCGGGCGGAAGCCGCGCAAGGTGGAGCTAACCACAGTCTCCACTATCTGGCACCAAGAGCAGCTATCAACACTCGTCCACACGAGCACACCCGTCAGGGGGCCGATGTTAAGAAAAGCATCGCTGCGACTCTCAAGGAGAAGTGCAAGAAAATGGTGGCGAAAGCAGCAGAAGGGACACATGGTTCCCTGCGCCAGAACCTGAAGTACGAACCCTTCAGCGCCTTCAATGTGTTTTCGAAGGGGATGACGGTGACTTCACTCGACGAAGTCGAGATGTTCGCGCGCTTGCGACTTCCCGCCCCGGAAACGGGGACGGAGGCAAAGAGAGGCTTTGCCGGATCTCATACGTCCGATGCACGCACTGCTCTCATTTTCCCTCCTGTCGACGACATTATTCGCGGGGAGTACAATTACCAGAGGAACATCTTTCTCGAGCTGGCCAAGCACTGCTATTTCTGTTTCCAAGATCGCTTTTACTTGGTTCCTGAAATCGCTGTGTTGATCCGTGCCACTCAGTTGGCCTCTGAGGTCCGCAATCTGCGTCCTTTCACAATCCTCCGCCATGACGGCGTCGAGTACCAGCCCGTGACCGGGACTGTCCCTGAGATCATGGCCGACCTCGTCGGTTTGCTCCGCAACCATGCACACCGTGCTCTTACCAACAAGGAGCGTAACCAGCAACGGGTTACTGTGCAAGTCGGGATAGGGCAGACTCCCTTGGAGATTCCAGCATCGCTTGGAACTATGGGCAGGTCTCAGATGCTTGAACTTCTGGGCGGTACGCGGTTCAGTGTTGAGCGTACCCGCGGCTGGATTAATCGCGAGGTGGAAGACCGAATGGTTCGACATGGTGCCACTCCCATTGGCGCCATGCGTGTGCCGCCTCCACCGCCGTCACCATCCGGAAGGACTGGTCCTGACTCGTCGCTGCCTGCAGCAACACCCAGTGTTCGGCCTCCACCGGCTCCTCCGAGCCGAGGTCGCTCACCTGGCGGTGCAGCTTCGTCATCCACGGATCGTCCGATGAGCACTTCTGTTCCAAAAGCTGCAAAGACGAAGGCAAGGCCGGCATCTGCCCGAAGCATTACGCCGCCTCCTCCAAAGCCAAGTGCCAACAGACCAGTGCAGCCGCCTTACCCGCCTACTGCAAAAGCTGTTCCGAAGGCTGGCGCCGTTCGTGCACCTGAGGAATACATCACTGCAGATGAATGGGACAACTACTTTGCCGGCCGTGGCGAAGTCAGAGGCTTTGCTGTTGGCGATGCACCAGCTCCGGTTGCTGCCCCTGCTGGGCCACCTGCCACAGCCGCCGGAGGGCGTGCTCGCACTCGCTCACCGCGCCGCCATGACTATGGTGGTGGTCGAGACTATCAAGAGGCCGCGAACGACAGGTTGCGTCACCTGCGCCTGTGTGATGAGGCAATTGAGCAGCAACTCGAGAACCTGACGGTCACTCTCCCAGGCTTCCCAGCTGATCGCCTAAGGGACTGGACTGACCAAGACGGGAACGGATTCGATCCAACCCAACCAATGCCTCGCAATTGCACTCGCACAGATGCTTGGTATTGGGCAGTTCTCCGTGCCCGTTATCTTGAGGAGCTGTCGCCCAACGAAGTGCCTTTTGTGATTCCCGCTTACACCGACCGGGAGGTCTTGGTTCAGCATCCGGTTGAGCAGATTACCTGGTTCCTGCGTGGCTGGGAGGAGTTTCGCCAAGACTCCAATGGAGCATGGTACAGGGCATACTGGTCCGTCGCATCCGACACCGGAAGGTGCTCCGCGTCTTGAGGGCACCGTGTCATGCAAGGATGCGTGAAATCGCGACCAACAGCGATCATATTTCAAAGTCAGTTTTCTGCGATTCACCGCACTGGCGTGCTGGTTCTTTCTCAAATTCTTTTGCATCGCCACGCCCGTGCATCACCACCCTGGCGGGTCGGTTCAAGTGATCGTCTCAGGGGGTAGGTAGTGAGTCCGCATCGCAGTTTGGCTTAAGGGCTCGCAAAGCGAGTACCTGCCATTACACAGTAGCTCTTTTCTTACAGTTGTTCGCCTCCTCCGCTGCGCTTCAATGCGCGGGGGGTGTTTTAACTCTGTTTGTATGCTAGTACTCGTTGCTACTGTATGGCTCAAGTATGAAAAAGGATTCGTGCGTCCTGCTGTTAACAATATTATCATTATCTGCTGTAACTTAACTCAATTATGATGCAATTTTCATAAGGCCTAAGGTCGGAACTCCGAATTTCGAACCTTGCACATACTGCTACTGCTGCTAGGTTGCTGCTGCTACCGCTGCTGCTGCTGCTGCTACTACTACTACTACTACTACTACTGCTACTAATACTACTACTACTACTACTACTACTACTACTACTACTACTACTACTACTACTACTACTACTACTACTACTACTACTACTACTACTACTATCTACTACTACTACAACTACTACTACTACTACTACTACCACGACCACGACCACGACCACGACCACGACCACGACCACGACCACGACCACGACTACTACTACTACTACTACTACTACTACTACTACCACGACCACTACTACCACGACTACTACTACTACTACTACTACTACTACTACTACTACTACCACTACTACCTACTACTACTACTACTACTACTACTACTACTCCTACTCCTACTCCTACTACTCCTACTCCTACTCCTACTCCTACTCCTACTGCTCCTACTACTACTCCTCCTACTCCTCCTACTCCTACTCCTACTGCTACTACTGCACTGCTACTGCTAGTGCTAGTGCTACCGCTACCGCTACCGCTACCGCTACCGCTACCGCTACCGCTACCGCTACCGCTACCGCTACCGCTAACGCTACCGCTACCGCTACCGCTACCGCTACCGCTACTGCTACTGCTACTGCTACTGCTACTGCTACTGCTACTGCTACTGCTACTGCTACTGCTACTGCTACTGCTACTGCTACTGCTACTGCTACTGCTACTACTACTCTGCTACTACTCCTGCTGCTACTGCTGCTGCTACTGCTACTGCTGCTGCTACTGCTATACTGCTACCACTACTGCTACCGCTACGGCTACGGCTACGGCTACTGCTACTGCTACTGCTACTGCTACTGCTACTGCTACTGCTACTGCTACTGCTACTGCTACTGCTACTGCTACTGCTGCTACTACTCCTGCTGCTACTGCTGCTGCTACTGCTACTGCTACTGCTACTGCTACTGCTACTGCTACTGCTACTGCTACTGCTACTGCTACTGCTACTGCTGCTACTACTACTACTACTACTGCTACTACTCCTACTCCTACTCCTCCTACTCCTACTCCTACTACTACTACTCCTCCTCCTCCTCCTACTACTACTACTACTACTACTGCTACTATATACTGCTGCTACCACTACTACTGCTACTGCTACTGCTACTGCTACTGCTCCTAGTGCTACTGCTACTGCTACTGCTGCTACTACTACTACTACTACTACTACTGCTGCTACCACCACCACGACGACGACTACTACTACTACTTCTACTGCCAGTACTGCTATTACTACCACTACAAGACTACCACCACCAGCCTACGTCTGTACAGCTGTGGTGGCCGCGTTTCAGATTGGTTCGGATGAGCCGGCTGGAGATACTTGGTGTTTAGGGTTTATATCGGGCATCTGTTTAGCGCAGTTCATCTGATCAGTATGGCTGCAACTTGCAACTGCTCTGGATGCTCGTGCGGTTCGTGTAGGACTGTGTTCCTAAATCCTTGCAGCAGGACTACTGGTTTGTGTTTGACAGCTTGTTGGTGCTCCTGATGATTGGAGAAACGTGGGCCGCGCGCCGAGGGGAAATTGACAGTTGTAATGTTGTGCCTGCATAGAACACTTGTTTCAAAGGGTTGCCTAGCATCACTACGGGAGGAACATTCCTGGACCCACACAGTCTGAATTGGACTGCTTTGGTGCAGGGCAGTTTGGAAGCACCATCTCAGTAGCAGTTGTCACTCAAGATCTTACCGTCGTCACTAGTGGAAATTTTCATGGGAGCTGTGCGACGTAGTACTTCCAGGACCAACACTACAAGTCCCACTAGTATCACTAGCACTGCGAATTCCAGTCATGGTCGTCGTCGTCGTCGCGTAGTAGTAGCAGCAGCTCCAGCAGTGGCAGTGGCAGCAGCAGCTGCAGTGGCAGCGGCAGGAGCAGGAACAGGAGCTGAAGCAGGAGAAGTAGCAGCAGCACTAGTAGTAGATAGTACCAGTGGAAGCTAGTCATCGTTGCCGTCGTCAACCTAGTAGGAGTAGAAGTAGGAGTCGCGACAGCGGTCGCAGTACCAGCAGCAACAGCAATACCAAACCAATAAGCTTGCTGCTTAGCATTGTCGCACCCAAGGCTTGTTACACCGGGCATAGACAAACTCTAGAATCTCTAGAATGGAAAGAGCGCGGCTTCAAACCCCAAGTAGGACGGCAGAACGAGTCAGAGTGCCTTCAGGCCTGGTTTGAGAAAATCCAGACGTACTCATTGTTTTGAGTATGTCAGTCACATAATAAGACTGTGTCGTTTCTCTCTCTCCCTTGGCCTCTCTCTCTCTCTCTCTCTCTCTCTCTCATTTCTGTCTTGCTTTCTTTCCACACACACACACACACATATATATATATATATATATATATATATATTCATATATATATATATATATATCTCTCTCTCTCTCTCTCTCGTTCTCTCCTTGTAGTGCCAAGCCACAACACCAAGGACCCCAGACTCTTAGACGGCCCTACACCCACACTTCAATCCAGGCTAAGGACCATGAAGCCTCGGCTTCCGGAGCAGCCTCGATGATTAATTCTAAGGTTCTTATAAAGCTCCCTACAGAGCCCGGTACAAGCCTCTATTTAAAAACAACCTTTTAGAAACCCTGTGCTCGCCATTGAAGCTTCAGGCTCCTAGAGAGGAAACTCCCCAAGGCTTTGCCCCTCGCCCTCGTCGCCTCTGGTGCTAGCCTTAGGGAGCAGGTTTAGTGTTTGGATGGGATTTTGGGGTTTCAGGTTTTGGATTTGTGGGTTTAGAGTTTAGGTCTTAGGTTTTGGAGTTTGGGCTGTAAGGATTTGGCAATTTGGGGGATTATGGGCTTAGGGTTTGGATGGGGTGTTGGGCTTTCAGGGTTTGGTGGTTTGCGGGTTTGGGGTGTAGGGGTTCAGGGTTTAGGTAGCCCTATCAGACCACGATTTCGGCGCAGATGGTGAGGGTTTGGGACTGACAGCTTTCATGAGAAACTTTTCGACGTTCGGCCGACTCATATACATGTGCAACAACGCGCCACACAAACCAACAAACGCGCAAGCAAACACGCAAGCACACAAGCAAGCAGACAAACAGATACAATAGGCACCACGCACGTGCACGCACACACACACACACACACATGCACACACACACACACACACACACCCACACCCACACCCACACCCACACCCACACCCACACCCACCCCCACCCACACCCACACCCACACGCACACCCACACGCACACCCACACACGCGCACACGCGCACACGCGCACACGCGCACACGCGCACACGCGCACACGCGCACACGCACACACGCACACACGCACACACGCACACACGCACACACGCACACACGCACACACGCACACACGCACACACGCACACACACGCGCAACCAAGAACAAGGTAGCGCGCGCCTTACTGGCCATGGGGTCTTGGTACGGTCCATGGGTGCGTAAGATGTGCACAACGCGAGAAACGTGGGGTTGGGTGCACGTTTTTAATCAAAATGCCCCTTGTTTTGGATGCTCAGAAAGTACACAATTTGTTTTGCCAGGGTTCTGTGTGTCGAGGCACGAAAACACTGGCCCCAGTGGGAGATTTCTAAACATCCGAATGCGAATTGTGCAGCCGGCCCTTCGATGATGATGATGATGGCCTGTATATTGATGATGTTCATGGGGATGGTGGCCTAGTGGTACACAAACAGCAAACTAAACGAGAAAACGAAGAAAGAACTCCACAAGCACACCACTAAACAAACAAACCCACAAGCACGCACACACAGACACACACACACGCACATGCACACGCACACGCACACGCACATACGCACATACAAACACACGCACACACGCACACACGCACACGCGCACACGCGCACACACGCACACACGCACACGCACACTCACACACGCACACACGCACACACGCACACAAGCACACACGCACACACGCACACACGCACACAGGCACACACGCACACACGCACACATGCACACACGCACACACGCACACACGCACACACGCACACACGCACACACGCACACACGCACACACGCACACACGCGCACACGCACACACCCACACACCCACACACCCACACACCCACACACCCACACACCCACACACCCACACACCCACACACACACACACACACGCACAAACACACAGTCCAACAAACAAGCAACGATGCAAACAAGCAAGCAATCAAGCAAACAACGAAGCAGACACAAAAAGTAGGCCACACAAAAGAAGCACGCACACACACACACAGACACAAAGGCCGTCCAAAGAAAAAACAAACACACACCCACCACCCATGGGGTGATACAAGCGTGCAAAGCAACATGGCTGAACTACATGTCACCTCTAGCCTAAATCCTCCTGTCTAAACATGGTGATCGCTTGAATGAGCGGCTTGCAAAGGCAGATTGCAAGACGAGAGGCAGCCAACCATGCCAAAGAGTCAAAACCCGACACCCTAAAACCGTACCCGACAGCCTAAACCTACCATCTGCCCTTGCCCGCTTTGATACGAGCACTCAGCTTCTCAGAGAGTATAGGGAGCTATACATGGTCACGCACGAGAAAGGGCAGGCTTGAGTTTTAGGGGGTTTGGGAGGGCGCATGAGCCGGTCAAAGGTAGAGCTGTAGTTGAGCTGAAACTTTGTGCTGGGAATCTCCCAGCAGTTGAAGCACAAGCTAAGAAAGAAACCGCAAGCTCCATACCCGTTAAGCTTAGGGTTTGGGGTCTAGGCTCTATAGCCTTTAAATCCCAACGCCTTGACCCAGGACCATATAACCCAGGTACTGGCGCGGCCGCTTTTACTGAAGACAGCTCGCACCTCCTCGATGTGCTCAAAGTGCTCCGCGCCCCAGGTGTTGACTATTTCACTTTCACAGCCAAGTCTCCTCACCAGTTGAACTGTTCATCGGCATGAGACCTACCACATTGACTTCGTTCCGCTCATTGTTGTTGTGCACCATGTGCATGTCTGAGTGGGGAAGTTGTAGTGGTAGCCGTGAGAGTCATAGTGGAGTAGACTGTGTATGACTGTGTTTTATCTATGTCGTTGTCGAGAACCGGGATTTGTGCAGCTACATAAGGAATCACAGGAGTCACCGCAAGAGCACCGCAAGCAAAGACAACAACAACGACAACAACAGCAACAGACTAAGCGCAGTTAGTTGAAAGCTTTGACAAAGCAGTAGCTCCTGTATGTTGGAGGGCACGTGCGTGCATGCCAGTGGGCGCATAGGCGCATCCGTCCTACAGCCTCGGGGATCGAGCCACGTTGCCCTGCAGCCGAGGTGTCGCTTGCTACGGCTCGCGCGCATGGCGAGGAGTGGTTTCTTGATGTTGTTCATTGGTCTCTTCGCCCTGGCTCGGCCCGAGTGTTGCACGTTGAGACGGGCAGGTCCAGATCCAAGGCAGTGAAAATTCAAAAGCCTTTGGATAGTGGATCTTCTTTACATAAATTTCGTCACAGACACTGTGGCTCTACATGGTGCAAGCTGTGTATGTGGTGTCACCTGCTTTCCGCAGCCCAGCTGTGTCATTCGTGATATTCGTGCTTACCCGAGCATGGAAGGAAGATGAAGGAAGCATTGCATATGGCAGCCCAAACCCGGCAAGGATCTTAAGCCCCGAATCCGAAACCCCCTTAAACCCTAAAATCCGAAACCCCACAACCCCACGCACTTAATCCTAAAACCCTACTTGGGAGTTTCCGAAAACAGGGGACCCTACTAGAGTACCCTAAATAGCAGGATTTTTGTTTAATCACCCCCAAAATCGGGCACCCCTAATTTGCGGGAACTCCTTAATTCCCTTAAAGCCCAACATCCTGGCTTGAGCCAGGATGTTACGGTCGATCTCTGAGTTGATGATCTTGATCAAGGAAGGATTTCCGGGTTCATGGAGTTCATGGTTTCAACCTAGACCCTCCATCTACCCTCTATTAGACCCTAAATGCCCCTTATTTGGGACCATATACCCTTATTTGCGGGTACAAGGAGGGTCCTGGAATATGGGGGCCTAAACAAATACCAATAGGTCGAATGGGTCTCGAAACCCTATTCTAATTATTAAGGCCCCTATTTTAGGGTTTCAGGGTTAAGGTTTATGGTTTCAGGGCTTCCGGGGTTTACGGCCCCTGCACTGCAGATTTCGAATATTTGCGCTTAAGGTTTTACGGCTTTGAGAGTTGAGGGTTTTGGGTGGCGCTCCCTCGAGATTTATGTAAGGTTTTCTTTGCTTGCATATACCTCTAAGAAAAGGGTGTTTTTGTTTCGTTTCATATAGAAGCGGTTTAGGTTTGCACCTTCGGAGCCCGGTTTAGTGCAAGCCTTAGATGTAGGATGCTTACGCAAAAGGCAAAAAGACCTCAAACCTGAAATCCTCAACTGCCACTGTCGCCCAAGGCTGCAGAATCACTGAAACGGAAGCCTGGATCGGTGAAGGGCTGATAGGTTTCAGTGTTCGGGAACGACAGATGCAGTAGCACGGAATATGTCCTCTTGCCCGTCCAGTCAGACCCATCATGTAAACGCTGCAGGTTACAGACCCTGCGTTTACTTGTACAGAAGCCCATGAATTATCTAGGCATCTGGGCTCAATATTGCGGCCTAGCCACGAAAGCCCGAGACCGCAAATCTTGTGTGTCCCTGCAAAATTGATGCAAAAGCGTTGTCCCCAAATGACTTCTGGCTCCACTCGACACTTCCCGGAACTTCAGAACCCTGAATCCTTAAGAGCACAGAGAGCAGAAACCACGCCTAGAAACCTTAAAGCCCTAAACCGCAGAACCCTAAACGCTTAAAGCTCTAGACCACAAAACCTGAAGCCCTAAACTTAACTTTGGAAGCCCCAAACCGTGGAGCCCTAAGCCCACAAAACTAAGCCGTAAGACCCCGAATGCCAGGGGATGGCGGCGGCTGGACGATCAGTCTTCTTCGTGATGTGCCTTCTCGCAGGGGAGCTCGGGTCAGGGCTTTTGGGCTTAGGGTTTGGGGTTTAGGGTTTGGGCTTCAGGGTGCGGGTTTAGGGTTTAGCATTCAGGCTTCGGGTTTAGGGTTCCGGGTTCAGCGTTTGGGGCTCATGGTTTTTGTTGTTTAGGGTTAGGACCTTATGTTTAGATAACGCTGTTGGGCTTCAGACTTCAATTTAATGGGCTTGGCGCATTAGGATTGGCTCTTTCGGGCCTCAGCAATACACGTTCTAGGATCTGAGACAGGTGAAGGCCTAAAAACCCTAAGCCCTCATAAACCCGAAACCCTGAACCCTCATAAGCCCCTAAACCCTCATAATCCCTAGAACCTAAGCTGAGCCCTATCTATACAGGGTCCCAAACCTTCAACCAAATCCAACAAAACCTAGAAAAGTCGGAATATCGCCTCGCATCATAGTCCGTATCAGGTGTTGCCATACATGTGTCCACCGAAACACGAGTTCAATCATCATATCCCTTATCCTCAAATGCGTACATACATACATACCTACGTACATACATATACATATACAAACATATATGCACTCACACACACACATAATCACAGACATACAGCCGTCCATACATGCATGCATACGTACATACAGACATACATCCATCCAACCATGCATGCATGCACACATACACACATACACGCACATGTACATGCACACGTGTATATATACATGTATACTAATGTATACACCTACATGTTTGTGTTTTGCCACTAGTTACTCGATTACATCCAGGAGGCCTTGGTCGCCCAGAATGGAGCTCTGGGGGTGATTCAGGTTTAGTGTTTGAGTCGATCCCTTAAGCCTAAACCCGAGATTCTATGTTAACCTGGAGGGTTTAGGGTTTAGGGCACTATGCAAAATCGATGGGCTTTTGTGTATGTCTAGACCTGAAGTTCTGCGCGTTTTCCATCCTTAGCCCCAGATGTTTAGGTTGTTGAGTTTACCCATAGGCCCCATAGTAGTTCCTTTTTGGGATTACCTTGACAGGATTCGAAATATGAACCCTAAAAAGGAACTACTATGGGGCCTGTGGGTAGGGTGATGCTGTTTGCGCGCTATATGACGATGGCTCAAAGGTTGACCGGAAGCAAGGTGGGTGGGAAGATGATTCGCAAATTTCACAGATTGTTTCTGAAGTTCTGTTACGGGTCCGTCCCGAAACAGCCAATGCCAGCTGAGTTTGGGGAGTTCTTGCAAGAGCATTGAAAATGGCATACGCAATCATGAATACTTTTGCAATCTTTCATCGTGGCCGGTGAAGTAGAGTTCGCAGCTGGCCAAACTAGCCGACCTTTGGTGTGTTTTTTGTGGGCCTCGCTCTTCGAAACCGAAGAGATCCTGGCCTGTAGAGCCATGTCGTCGATGATATTGCCTGCGCTTGTGTCCCTGGTGTTTGCCTTGGCGTTTCTATGCTTCTCATACATCCAGCAAACCGAAGTTTCGGCAGAAGCTGTGATGAGCTCGAGGAATGTGTTCTGTATTTCCTGCGCACTGCGCATAGGGGCTTCAAGCTGAGGGTTGTAGGGTTGTAGGGTCACGCAGCAGCAAGCTAAGGACATGTTTCGGGCAGCCAGCGAGCGATTCGTGAACTCACCGTGGCAGCATAACCCCAAGAGGACCGTCTTCGACGTCAGAGGAGGCGCCGAGGTCTATAGCTGGGTACAGCAGGTCTTCTTGAACCAGCTCTACATGGAGTTGCCCGCAGATGGTGCTGCAGAGGGAGCCATGGCCAAATGGATGTCGGCGGCTTCGGGTGGGGTGGTTGTGTTAATTATGAGGACGACGGTCACGAAGCATAGGCTTGCTTTGGACGTCTCTTTGCAAGTGCCGAGGAAATATCAAACTTTTGCTTCTTGTAAAAACCTGCTGTCTGAAGATTTTAACCCGAAGCCGAACAGCGAGGCTATTGCACCAGCACCCATCCCTGCCGACTGGGTGAGGGGAATGTCAACAAGGAGAACGAATGCTCTTCAGCTTTTCAAGGGAAGATATACATTCTAAGGTTTGGGTGTAACATAACATTTAGGGTGATATGGGAGGGGGGGGTTGGGTGTAGCGTCTATAAGGTTTACACACGTGAGGTTTCGAGGGCTGTTACGTGTAGCCCTAAACCCTTCTCTGTACACCTTGGAAGCAGCCTCGGCCCTTCGTTTTGGTTTCATGGGCCGATGTTTGGCTTTTAGTAGTTTGGGTGGCAGGGTGTAGGACGAGAGAAGGTAGGGCGGAGACCGCGGTGCCTCGAAGGGGAGCCATACGATACTATATACGTAATGCTATGCTATGTACTTTACTAGATATGAAACTTTACAGCGTATTATATGCTGTGCTATTCTATACTAATAAACTGTACAATAGTGTACTCTACTATACTATATAGTTATATGCTATACAGCTGAGGCTCTGGGTCTTTGAAGCCGGGGGATCGGAACTGCCCGTCGCGCTTGGGGGTGCGCGCCAGCTGCTGCCAGCAGTGTCAGGGGTCAACATGCCCGGAGAGTCACCTACCTGCAAAGCACCTCGGAGGAGCTTAGCCCGAAGCCCGAAAATGTGTATAAGGTTCAGGTTTAACTCGGTGGAGGGCTGTGGAATCAAGCTTTGGGAGATCTGGCTCCTTGCGAACAGTCTTAAAAAAGGGCTTCAGTCGTCGACCCAAGTCAATCTGCGCAGTCTATGGAACACCTCGTGTTTATCCAAGAGGATAGAGTAGGCTGCAAAGGCTTTGGGTAAATGGTGGGAGCTGAGTCCAGCCTTACAGAAACCAGAAGACACAAGCCTGTCAAGGTGTAGGGTTCAGGGTGTAGCACCGTACAGGACACGCACGAGAGCATGCATTCGTCTCCTTGAATGCACAGGAGTGGCCGCGTTCAGCTTGTTCTAGCAGGCCACGAGATACAACCATGCAGTGTAGAGACATGAGCCGGATCTAGAAGACGAGTACACGAACCGAAACCTTAAGGTCTACAATGAGGCTCGTGTGTGACATGTAACCCTGTATCTTTGTCTGCTGTGTAAGCCCCGCTAATCCCCAAACCTTGAGTCCAATGCACTGGCATTTCCACATCGAAGTTGAGGGTTTATTGTTTAGGCTCTCACTGCTCGCCATTACTCTTTCGCTGATTCTCTTCTAGACTAGGGCTGCTGAACCGACGCCGACCTCGTCCACCACTTCCACACCTAAGCCTGCCATCGTCACCACTGCACCAGCCACCTGTGAAAGCCCGACAGTATGTGTATGCATATATATATATATATATATATAGATATGCTGTATATATATATATATATATATATATATATGTATATACACATACACATACATATTACGTCTGCATGTGTATATATATATATATGTATATTTACAGATATCTGCCTACTCATTTATACACATGCTTTGATCCGAATTATGTGTATATATGTTTATACATACACACAATTGGAGGCACACTGAGACGAGAAGGTTGCGACAACGGCTTTTGCTGTTGTGAAGTGTGTTCCTTGCTTGTGTTACAGGCAAGGCTTCCTTGTGGCCAACACCTCCGTGCTGGACCTTTCCGCGAACTGCGCCCAAAAAGTGCCTAGCTGGTTGTATCTGCTGCCGCAGTGCCTGGGAGAGGATTGGTTAAGGCTCCGGGTGTCCGTATTCGATGCACGTGATTGGCCCCTACTTCGGCGGTTTCGCGGGCCTCAGTCTTCAGTCGTTGAGTTTTAGCTGAGCATCTTCCGGGTGGACTGAGGGGAGCTTTGCTGTATCTTATGAACGTTTGACTGCACCGAACCGAAACGATTGAATCGTTTGCAGTCAAAAGTTCTGAAAGCCCAGCTAGCTGCTAGCCCAGTTCCAAGGTGGAAAGACGACGATGCGCCTGATCATGACTCGGGCAACTACACCTTTTGCCCAGAAAGGGTTGGGCGGCAGGGAAAGCGCGGTCTCATGGTGGGACGCTTCAACCTGGTCCTGATGGGCGTCTCGGCGGAAGTTGACATGTTAACATTGGGTGCAATGACTTCCTGACCAGTTGCTACGTATCTTAATGCGACGTGAAAGTTCAGACTGCTAACTTTCGCATCAGCACTGCTTGTCCTCAAGAGCAGAAGAGCGCGGCAGCTAGTGGCGGCAGCAGTGGCCAGGGTGCTGGCGAGGCCTGGGTTATATGGACGACGACTACTCGCGCCACTGCCGCTACTGCGACGACTCAGATACAAGTGTTCATGCGACGACAACGACGGCGATACTGTAACGACGACGACGACGACTACTGCTTCGTCTACTGCTATTGCTGCTGCCGGTGCTGCCGCTGCCTATACTGCTTAAACGAGTAACTCTGCCAGTGCCACTGCAGCAGCACTGCCACAACGACAGCTGCTGCCTCGCGTAGGAGCATAGACCTAATGCCAGGAGTGTCGTGATTTGTCGGTTTGTCCAAACTGGCAAATATGATGAGGCCGACTGTCTCTCAAGCGGCGGAAGTTGGCGACATCAAGTTCGCCCATCTTCTCGAATGCTTATCCCCGTGTCATGTCGTACCGCAAGACAGATGCCTTCCAGTACAGATCTGCAGAAGAGGACACAGCCTCATTTGGGACGGACCGTGTGTACAACTACGCGAAGGACGCAGGCTTCAGGAGAGCAGGCGGTTTCGTCGAGATGCTGAACTTTGATGAGCCCAAGCATGTTATCTTGAACAAGATCGCAGCATTGAGGCGGAATGGTTGGTTCAATCTCAAGCAGGGGTCCTTAGTTGTTGAGCTGCTGGTATGGAACGGCAACGTGGAGCGCCTGCTGCACACGGCCTTTGTTTTCGAGCATGACTTCAGTGGAAAGACGGAAACACAGGTCCTTGTCAGCAGTCTTGCATTCAACATCCACGACCTGAATGCTGTTGCAACCTACTTTCTCTTCGCCCTCTACCTTGTCATTATCGTGTGCTTTGTCTTCTTTTTGCGTGCGCAGATTGAAGATATTTCAGCTGATTACCGTGCCTATCTTTCTGAGCCAATGGGTTACATCAAGCTGGCCCTCTTCTGCCTTTGCTTCTACTGCATCGTCCAGTACTTCACCATCGTCTTCTCATACATTTTCCTGTGCCTTGGCCTGACAAGTTGCATGTCATGTGCCTGAAAGCCAATGATAGGTCCAAGCCGTAAGCCGCAAAGCCCAACTGGACCCTCAGTTCTCTATATACCAGCCAAAAACATTACATCGAGTCCTACATTAGGTCCTATAAATCATCTTACATCTTACGCCATAAATCCTCGCCATTGCAACCCCAACGCCTATTGACCTTATAAGCCTTAAACCCCGAAGTGCCACTTGCAACGGAACGCGAGGTTCAGGGGTTTTGGGTTTTGGTGCAGGGGTTTAGGGGTTTAGGGGTTGAGGGTTTTGGCATAGAGATGGTTGGCCAGGAACTTCCGACTGCCCATGAAGACTTCCGACTTTCAAGAAGTGGCAGAGCCTCTCTAGCACCCGAGCACATTAGACTCGGAGGGGGCTTGGAGGTTTAGGGATTCGGGTTCTCACAGGGTGTGAGGGTTTGCGGCTCATTGTTGTTAAGTGTTTTAGGGTTTGGGCTTGGGGGGATTAGGGTTTCAGGCTGGATGAGATCAGCGTTTTCGTGGGTTGGGGTTTAGGGGTTTAAGTTTAGGCATGGGCCCACAGCTGCGGGTATAGAATCGGTGTCCTTTTCAGGGGTCAAGGGTCTGCTTCGGACTTAGGGTTAGTTTTGGAAAATGAGGGTTCGCTTTCGTAGCAGGCGTGGCAGAAGGCACGGCTTGCAGCAACCCTTGCAGCAGCAGCAGTTAACAAACCCTTATAGTGCCGCTAGACCCTAAACCCTATATACCCTAAACCGTGAACCCTAAACCCTATTCCCTATATACCCTAAACCCTCTACCCCGAACCCTATAAACCCTATACTTATACCCTAAACTTTACCCTAAAAGGTATAAACCCTATACCCTAAACCCTATACCCTAAACCTTAAACCCTAAACCCTAAGCCCTATAAACCCTAAGCCCTATACCTCATATACCCTATATATACCCTAAACCCTACACCCTTACAGGGATTCCCAGTCTAAAGGTGGATCAGAAAAAGACCGGCCCTAGGCTTCGCACCAAGCAGGCCCTAAACCGTAATCTCGATGTCGTACCGGCTTAGGGTTTACAGTTTAGGGTTTAGGGTATAGGGTTTAGGGTTCAGGGTTTAGGATTTAGGGTTTATAAGGGTTCAGGGTATAGGGTTTAGGGTTCAGGGTTTAGGATTTAGGGTTCAGGGTTCAGGGTTTAGGGTTTAGGGTTCAGGGTTATAGGGTTTAGGGTTTGGGTATACGGGCTTCCAAAAGTGCGGAAGGAAGCCTAACCCCGAAACCCGGGGCCCTCGAAACACTAGACCCTAAACATCAAAGGAGCTGACGATGAACAACGAAGATCTCAAGGTGGCAGTGTCTGTCACCACGTGTCTGCTTTTCGTCCAGGCCCTGCGTGGTTTCGGAAAGGAGGTTTGGGGTTTCCAGGCAGAAGCTTCATGGCAGGCTTTGGGGTTTGGTAGCTTTGGGCATAGGCCTTAGGATTTTTCCCAGATGCTTGCAGGGAAGGGTGAAATCCGTGACCTCAACCTGAAACACGAAAGGAGAGTTGTTCCAAAGAATCTTGCAGAGCAGGGACTGCACGTCCTTCTACGGAGATCTGAGCAAACTAACATGGGAGCTGACTTTCTGGCCATTTGGAGATACTTGTGGACGAGTACGACAACAAGAAAATTTAAACCACAGCTGCCGCAGCACAGCATACCCGAAGGCAGATACCTTGTGCTTGGATAAAATAGCCCTATACGACAAACGAAGCATAAATAAAGCAATCCTCCACAACATCACGGCCGTTTGTTTGCCAAATCCTCATGGGAACATTTTGAAGTGTGTTGGGCCGGAAGCTTAAACTCTTGAACCCTAAACCTTACGAAACTCCTGAACCCCAAACCCCTAAACCGCCAAACCTTAAACCCCAAACCCCTACCTAGTAGTAGGGTAACCTTTAACCTTTTTTGGGTAGTATAGTCCTTTGATAATTTTTATATAACCAAAAAGGTTAACCTTTAGTTCCCCATGATACCCGACACGTAGGCCTACTATATAAACCCTAAAGCCCAAACTCTACACTGCGGGACTCCTAGGATTCGCTGACGGTACCCGGCGGTACCCTAACATAGGAGCCTACATTACCTATACCATTTTGGGGGTTCGTTATTATATATATGGCATAGGAACCGTTTTTCTTATCTTGGGCAAAGTACTCGTGATGTAATTATACTTTCCTTTTGGGGATTCCCTTAGGACTGAAAAAATGAACCCCAAAAGGTCTATGGGTAAGTCTCATGACTCCCCAAGCTCACCCTGAATCCTCCTGCCCTGGTATCCCTCAGGGATCAGGTGACAAAAATGGTATATGGTAGTTTCCGAAAAAAGGGGACCCTAATATAATACCCTAAATAGTAGGATCCTGATCATAGGGACCCCAAAGTCAGGTACCCCTAATTTTCGGAAACCTCCATATACCTTGGCCTGAAAGTCGTCCCTTTATAGGCACTTTGGGGCTAAGGTGTACAGGGACCCTTAGGGTAAACTCTAAGCCCAAACCCCTAAACCCCTAAAGACTTTCAACTCCTCACCCTAAACCCTAAACCCCTATAAACCCTAAACCTCTTATAAGCCCTAAACCCTTGTAGGGTTTCTGTATGGACCCGCTGGGTGGAGGCGATCGCAGAGTGCTGCGCTGTCCTTCCGCAGTTGCAGCTCTTGGTGCACTCGATGAGCGTTGTGAAGGCACAGACCTTCGTAGCCAGGGGCGTTAAAGGCTTAGGGTTAATAGGGGGGGTACTATAAGTAGGGTTCCTTTAAGGTTTTAGGGAGTTCGGGCTTGGGGGTTTACGTCTTAGGGTTTTATGCCTCAGGGTTCAGGGTTTAAGATTTTAAGTTCTAGGGGGTAAGAGGTCTGGGGTTCGACGAATGTCTCTGCCTGAAAAGTCGCAACAATGCAAACCCAGAGTGAGGCTTGAGGGGTCTGGGGCCCGAACTCCAAGCCCCAAGCCCAAAACCTGCAAAGTGCGACGATTTAGTTGAGCTTTGCCTTGAACTTTGATAGAACATTGCTTAGGTTTCATATGGCTTTGGGTAGGAGCGATGGAAATGTTAGGATTTATTTTGTGTTGGGATCCTATGTGTTTTGGCTTTTGGGTTTTGGGCTCGGAATCAAACCGGATTTGGGGAGGCTACAGGGTGTAGCCTTTTGAGCAGTGTCGTAGGGTTTGGGGTTCTACTAGATCAATATCTCCTTGTACTTGTATGTAGTCCATTTGTAGCTGTTCTCCTTTACCCCGAACACTATATATGTATAAGTATATGTATATATATATATATATATATATATATATATATATTCAACTTATTTACATGATTCCTGTCTTTTGCCGAGTGTTAACGCAAGTTTAACGGTTGGCGTGCGGATTTGGATTGCTTAGCCAACGATATTACACTTCCCAACCCCAGAACGTCGTGTTTTTCCGTCCTACGCATGTCAAGCCTCCTAAGATTGAATCTCCCTACCTTGAACAGACGGCCGCGCAAGAAGCCACAGGAACACTTGGCCGCCTTCATCGTGGCCTTCTTTATCATGGTTCTTGGCTTCGGCTTGGGGGGCATGTTTGCCCTGGGCTGGAAAGTGTCATGGCGTCTTTAAGGTTTCGGAGATCGACAAACTTGAAGAATTTAGGGCTTAAGTCTTAAGTCAGATTGGGGCTAAAGTTCAGGGTTGTGAACGGGCCTGAGCTTGCCAAAGCCGCTTTCACGGTCATCACGGTCGAGTCCTTTCAAGAGTGGTTCTGCTTGTGTAGGTGTTACCTGTCAGTGCGTAGCCGAGACTGGGATGCCGCCAGATGGCTGCACCCGAACCGTACCGTGCCACCGTCATCATCAACAACAGAAGAGTTGCTGTCATCGGTGTCGTTGTTATGCTATTATCATGTGGGTCTGGGTGCCCAGGCTTCTGCGGTACCGACCTCCAACCATCATCAACTTCATCATCATGGACAACACTTGCAGGAGCGCAACCATCACAGTCATCGTCGTCCTCATCTTCATCATTATCATCTTCATCAGCTGTGGGGCATGTCCAGCTGCTTGAACGCCCCAGGACCTCCATCTGAACAGTCACGAGCACCAAGGTTGGGGAATTTGGCTCTATGCCACACAGCATCCTCACGGTGGTGGAGATGATACGTGGGAAGTCCAACTACCCAACCATCATCTCTGCAGATGGCGACTTCGGTGATGCTTACTTCCTCTTCTTCCACTTCTTCTTCCTGATCTTCCAGCAGTTCTTGCTCGCAATCTTGGTCGTTGGATACATGAAGGTGCGCAAGAAGCAGGCCGACTCCGAACAGGTGGAAACGCCTCTTCGGCGGATATTCCGCTCTGCGGCATAGTTGCAAGATGATCTATGATTCTGTGCTGGTTGCGCACGAGGGGTCGGCAGCCTATTGAGTGATCTTACCGGATACCATCAGAATGCCAACAGGGGTTCAAACGGCTTTAGTATGAGAAAATGAAATAAGGCTCCCGCAATAAAAAAGTAGATTTTGGGAATCCCAAACTCTGCAGTCTTAAAAGCGCCTTTTGTCTCCTAATCCAAGGTGAAGAGTGCCCTGCTCCACCTCAGTGCCAACATCCGAAGCCGCCTCATTTCCTTGCAGCAGATCTTCTTTGGCACCCAAGCCGCCAGCAAGACAGTGGACTATGAACAGGCCGGAGGGTTTGGTGGTGTAAAGATCATATCTTTTTTCACAAGATTATCATGTTTATTATTGCCATGTTCACTTGCGCACTTGCTGTTGTTGCTATCTTGCTGTCGTTGGTTTTCTGGTCACTGAGCATAAGCGAGATACGTCACGCCATGTGTATGAGCATCGGCACCTCCACTTGGTCTTCTTGCACCTTGGATGATGCTGTTGATCACCTCGGAAGATGTAATGCAGTGCAAGCGGAACCACCAACTGTAATCCCGACAGTGTGAAGAAGTGGAGCGCAGGTAGCACGTCTTCGCGACAAACGGGCTACGAAGCCAAAGATCCGCAACGTCCTCTACGAGAAGAGACCAGGGAACGATGATGAGAGTGTGGATATTGCCAAGGAGATATCGCTGCCCTGACAACCATTTGCCAGTCACTAATATAGGAGCCTTGATAGTTAGAATCAGTTAGAATACGGTTTTGGGGTCCATTATAATACTATATTTATAATAAAGAACCCCCAATATTGTATTGGTAATTATTCAGGCCTCTATATTGCGTCCTGAAGGGCCAGAAACTTTTAAGGTTTAGGGTTCCGAGCGTTCTTTGTCCAGATCATCACATGTGGGTGTGCAGCGCCCCTCGGTGTTCATCAGACTCTTTGCTCCATCAACAACATAATCTTGCAACACTGCTGTCTAATATACCGATATACCTCAAAAACCTACTCTGATTATCACGGCCCCTCTATCATAGACCCCTACTGCAGATCCCTTGTAGACCCTGTTAGGGAACCCTTTAAAAGGAACCTGGACTCGGCTTCTTGGACTCTGCAGGAGATTGGGCTGAGAGCAGTGGAGCCCTTCTATCCAGATGGAATGATGCACTACTACGTGGACTCCGGGATTTCCAAAAATGATGTAGAGGCCTTAGGAATAGGCCCCATAGTAGTTCCTTTTGGGGGTTCAGGATAAGAATCCTATAGGGTGCCATGCTTTAACAATTTTCTACGTAGACTCCGGGCTTTCCAAATATGATGTAGAGGCCTTAGGAATAGGCCCCATAGTAGTTTCTGTTTGGGGTTCAGAACGAATCCTATAGGGTGCCATGCTTTAACGCTTTTCTACGTCGACTCCGGCCTTTCCAAAAAGGGGAGTTTCCGAAAATAGGGGACCCTAATTATAGCTACCCCAAATAGTAGGATCCTTATTATAAGGACCCCAGAATAAGGTAACCCCCCCCCCCCCCATTTTCGGAAACTCCCATATGAGCATCCGTCAAAACTTGCGTCATGGTAGCTAAGAGTAGGGTGACCGTGGAATGTCGGATTTTGCCGATTTCCTTGGAAAGCGATAGGACCCGCCCCAAAGCGATACTATTAACGAGCATCATCTGTTTGGATATTTCCGTGCAGCCGCGGCATTGTGCCCAATTTTTCCGTGTACTGTATTATATGGCTAGGCAATCGATACCTTAATCGGTACCCAATCGATACCCTAATCGATACCTACTAGATCGTTTTAGGAGCCACTGCCCCATGCAGTAAAGGGTAGCAGAGGGCAGTAAAGTGCAATACATGGGCAGTAAAAGGCAGTAAAGAGCGGTAAGGGCAGGTAAGAGCAGTAAGGGCAGGTAAAGGGCGGTCAAAGGCAGTAAAGGGCAGCAAAGGGGACGGCAAGCTACGAGTAGGATCAGTGAGTCTGATGGTCTTCTTACTTGCACAAGAGCAAAGCGATACCTCACAGAAACATGTGACGGAATCCTTTTAAAGCGATAGGACCCCCCAAATCATCCATGGTCTAGCCATGAACGAGAAGTTTTGACAAACGCTCCATGATGTAGAGGCCTTACGAATAGGCCCCACAGTAGTTCCTCTTTCGGGCTCAGAATAAGAATCCTATAGGGTACCATGCTTTACTTAAAGGGGACCATTATGCAGCAAAAGTCTACACTTTTTCTCCCTGGTTACTTCAAAGCCCAGGACTACGTGGAACCAGACTCAGTGGCATCCCGGCCCTTTTCACACCTCCAGCTTTGTGGGGTCAAGTGTTGCTTTTCGATCTTCAGGATTTTACCCGAAACCCTGGCCTAGACGATATGGGAGTTTCCGAAAAGAAGGGGTACCAAATTTGGGGGTCCTGATAGCAAGGATCCTACTATTTAGGGTCGTATATTAGGGTCCCCTATTTTCGGAAACCCCCCCATATGCCCCAGAGCCTGACAGAGCCGGACGTCATCATACTCAGCCTTTTCGCCTTAAGCCCAAGCGTCTGGACAATGAGGCTTAAACCCAAATGAGTAGCCGCTCAAGCCAATACAGGAGCTTTAACAATCATAATCAGGTTTTGAGTCATATCTTTTTTAGCCCTGTTAAGGATTATATATTGATGTGGGGATACTGATACTGAATTCTTTCGACCGCCTTATCAGTAGAAGGACCAGCAGGTCGAAATGTTGGCTTCAATTCAAAACTCTTTGCCAAAGAACCTCAAGCTCTTTAGTTTTCAAGTTGTGAAAGCCATCATGTGCGGTGCGGTAGCTGTGACTTCACGAGCCCTTTTTGTTGCCACTCTCCCTGAGCAGGGCAGATGGGGATTAATTCTTTCTTCGCAGGGTAGCAAGCAGCAGAACAATCGTGTAGCCCGTGTTGGGCGTAGCAGTCGGCATGGCCAGTCAATAGCCAGTATAGTAGCCCAGTAGCCGCATCATCTTACTATTCTGCGTCACCGTCACCATCAGCATCACTGTCAATATCGTCGTCAGCAAAGCTCGTATGTGACTTTGTCCGCGTCCGCCTTTAAACGCAACCGTAAGAGCAGTATTGTATCCCGAGGCACAGGACTACAAGGTGCAGGGTTTCCGTCTCGTGGGCATCTTTTCAAAGGGAAGCTATGACAAGGAGAAGTTCCGCAGCATTCAGGACCCGAGTAGTGGCAGGCCTTCAGCCCTACACGTGCCCCCAAAACCTGAAACGAATACAAGGGCATGATTCCGGGAGTAAAGGGTATAACGATAAAACGGCATAACCCCGACAACAGTTGCAAAGTGGGCAATGACGCCCAAAAAGCAGTACGAGGCTCAAAACAGTAGGTAGTTGCAGCCAAAGGGAAAGCTCTAATTGGACTAATTCTTAAAAGTCCTTAACCTACACCCCAAGGGCCCTGAAACCTAAGCCCTTAGCCTGAGATCCTAAACCCCAAACCCTAAACCCTAAGCCTAAGATCCTAAAACCTAAACCGCCCGAAGCGTCCTGAAGCCTTTGCATTTAGTCCCCTGAACCCTTAAACCCCAAGCCCATTTAGACCAGGGTTTGGGATTGGGGGTTTAGGATCTATCTAGGGTTTGGGATTCAGGATTTAGGATCTATAGGGTTTGGGATTCAGGGTTTAGGATGTATAGGGTTTGGGATTCAGGGTTTAGGATCTATAGGGTTTGGGATTTAGGGTTTAGGATCTAGGGTTTAGGGTTGAGAATTGTAGGGTTTGGGATGCAGGGTTTCGGGTTTAGGGGCAAGGTCAGGTCTGGGGGCCATTAGGAAGCCTAGGCTGAGAACGACCCGAAGGTTTCGGTTTAGGATTGAGGCTTCGGTTTAGAGTGGGGTGTAGGGTTTAAGGCTTCTAGGGCTAAGGGTTTGGGTTTAGGCTGAATGGGACGCTTAAAGGCTCAAGATTAAGGTCGGATTTAGGCCATGGGTGTTAGGGTATAGGACTTAGGTCAGATTGATTTCAGGTTTCAGGTTTAGGGTATAATAAGGCCTGAAGGATGCTAGTGGTGTACAGTGTCGTAAACCCTGCCGGCCTTGGAAACCGTGAACCAATTCCTTTTAGGGTTTAGGGGTTTTAGGGGTTTCGGGGTTTCGGGGTTTAGGGTTAAATCCTAACAACCCGAAGCCCCCGGGCCGAACTCTTCAAGATCCCTAAACTTCTCTCAACCCTGAACGGACTAAGCCCTAAAACATAAGCATGTCTAAATCCATCCCTAAACCCTTGACATCCCCAAAACCCAAAACCCTAAAGCTTATGCATCTACCCCCCAAGCTCCAGATGCTAAACACCCCTACGCCCTAAAGCCGAATCCTTAAATCCTACCTAAAGTCTCAATTGTAGTTTTTTTCCTGGCCAAGCCACTTTCATATACAGGGACCTATAAAGCAACCCAAAAAAGGATGTACAATGGAGACTATAGATACTATCCCTACCTGAACCTACCAGAACCTGCTTCTTTGTAGGGTCCCTATGAATTCCATATTGGGCTTCATAAGAGGAACCTATTTACAACAAAGTAGGTTATGGTAGGTTAAGGTAAGCCCTAAGGGCACCCAGCTGCTCTGCAGGACTTTGAACAGAAGTACGAGAAGGACCCGCAGAAGATCCTTCAGAGCATCAGTAGGTCCGACTCTCTACCCGTGAGGCGCGAGTTTAGGGGTTTGGGCTTCAGCAGTTTAGGGCTGTAGAGTTAGGGATCTACTGTTTGGGGATTTGGGGTTTAGAGCTGTTGGGTTTTGAGGGCTTGGGCTCAGGCTCGAAATTGCGTAGGAGGGGGGTGGGGGTCCGGTTTCGAAGCTTATTCGGCTGTAGGGTGGTAGGGTTGGGGGAGCCCCCGACCCCAAACCCTGCCCTAAAGCCCAGAAGCCTCAAATCCCAAGCCCTGGCTTGGCTTAGGTTTCAGAGTTTAGGGTTTAGGCCCTATGACTCCTGCGAGGCTCGAGTTTCAAGGCAAAGTGCGGCCGTTCTCTTGCGAGTGCCTGACCATGGCTTTTTTCATGACCATCTTTCTCGTCTTCGTTCTCCAGGTAGGGGTGTCGCAAAAATCAGGGGTCCCCTTTGCCTTAGCGGGATCCATAAGGCTCTTGTTCTTTGTTGTTTTCCTTTCGGCTGCCCTGCTGTCTGTCAGGTTAGTCGTGTACAGGACTCCTACAGCCTGGCGCAGATTCATCGAAGCGAGCTGATGGGCAGGGAGTGGTACGAGTATCACCCCACACGTGTCATGGACTTCCGTAACATCTCCCTCACGCCCAAGAGCTATGAGCAGTGGATGCGAAAGGCAGTCTACGAAGGTGAGATGCGCTGCGTGGGGAAGCTAGCGGTCGATGCGGACAACTGCATTCCTGATCTTCGCTCCGACGGCGACCCCTACGTTCGCGAGGACTGGCAGCTCTTTACACGATCCCTTAGCTCTACTGCGGCCCTGAAGCTGAGTGCAAGACCGGAGACAGCGGATCTGAACACTTTCTTTGACAAAAGCCCACCAGCCGCAGCCGAGGGAATGACCATGGGCTTTATCCCCAAAGGGACCGTGCCAGTGGAAACGGCTGTTCGCTTCCGTACCTGGAACGTGGGTGTAATGCCCAACAACCACGCACGGATCGTCTTGCAAATTCCCTGCTACTTTGATTGTTTCCAGAAGTTCGTGGTATTTGCGTCGGGTTCTGTTGGGTGTTAGGGTGTGGTTGCGCATTATCGGACCTTACATAATGAGGCTATAGCAGTGCCATTTATTCCAGTGTTATTAAGGCCGCTCCAACAAGGTGGCTGGATGAGACCTGAATACAGAAAGGGGCCCTTAAATAATGCACAGACGGGGCCCTTAAATCTCCGAGGCTACACTGCGGTCACAAACGAGCGCTTTAAGGACTCAGTGCTGAATGGGTTGCCTTTGAAGCTTTTGGCATTTGTAATTCCAATCGGAAAGGTTACCCTAGCACTATAATGTACTTGAAATCCCTGTTCTGCCCCTAAAAGGAGGATTATCCCTTCCAGCTCAACCCGGAGTTCCGTGGCTGCTCCACGACGGATTGCATGGGAAAGCTGCTGCAGGAGCAGCAGGTTTGCTACTCCTTTGATGGTGAGGAGCAGCCGCCGGGCCAAACGCGAAACCCGAAATCCCCAACCCTCAACTTAAGACTTAAGCCCCAAAGCCCTAAAACCTGAGCTGATGGTGAGGAGCATCCGGCGGCCTCTGTCACAGGTGCCTCGACCGGGGTTGCCTACGTGTACACGACACAAGAAGGAGCAAATGGGGTCGTCCTTGGGCTCGGTGGGACTCCGGCGGAAGCGGAAACCGTGATGGACCTGCTTCTGCAGGATGCAATCCACCCTATCAGCATGCATCTTGGTTGCAAGCGTCTCTACTCCGGCAGACCCCCCAGCTTCGTACAGTCTCCAGTGTACTTGCGCCTCAGCGGTCCCGGAAACGAGGCAACCGAAAGTAGAGCGACGCTCCGACCCTACTCTCAACCCCAAGCCCCAACTCCCGCAGTATAAAGTCTGACGACACCATGACCGTTCTGGCACTCGCCTAGTGCTCTTCTTGTTGTTGACGTTCTGGTTGCTAAGCTTGTCGTCATTGAACTCGTCCATGAAAGGTACTGTGCACAGTCGCTACCCCCAAACTATCAGGAACACCCTATACCAACTGAACCTGTGGCCAGAATGCCCATGGCCCATAGTTCCGAGCGATCTCTAAATATCTTTCGTTATACGACCATCAATCGTAACATAAGACACGGTCACAGGATGTTGTATAGAGTTGCAATGTTTTAGTCGGGGTGTTTGCCTTCTGTGCGTTTTTCTCGCTATCTGTTTACCAAACCATACCTGCTATGGGTTATAGTATCCTTATGGGAGGGGGCTCCAAGGGGGGGTAGGTAACCTACTAATCCCTAGTTCTCTCCAGTGCTCCCTAAGGCTCCCTTCAGGTTCCCTAAGAATCCCTTGTGCCCTCCCCCCTTGAACCACCCTCCCTTAAGGACCCTATAAATGGGCGTCGGAATAACCACTAAAATTATTCCGTTTCTGTTGAACCCTAAACCCTAGACCAGACAGATACGTACAACTCCACCACAAGCCACGGACCCTATAACCCCCTAAACCCCAAACTGCGGAGACTGCACGTGATCCAAGGACCCTTCAGTTCGTCACCTACAACGGCAACATGGACATGCTTCTAGGTTTAGGGTTTTACAGGGTTCCTTATGAAGGGTTACTATCGCAGAAAGTAGCAGTTAAGTTACGGAAAGGGTGGCGAAACGGTTTAGTATATCGGGCCTGAGCAGGTAGAATGGGGTATACATTGCTAAAAGGTGAATCAGGAAGTCTGAGAAACGCAATAATTTAGGCTTCCATAGTACCGATTTTCCACATGATTGATAATTTCCCTCACAGGTTAGATACCTGCGACCTTCAGCAGAACCCATGAGCCTCTGAATTCATTTTTGCGGTCTCCTTCTTGAGGGATTCTTACATCACTGTTAATTTCCACTATAGAGTGGTTCAATATAGTCCCTATTTATATTGAGTAGCCAGTTGCCGGCGGTTGACATCAGCGCCCTAAACCCCAAAGTAAGCCCTAAACCCCTATACACCCTAAACCCCTACACCCAGGTTTACACACAGCCGAGTGTCGTTTGAGCTGGAGCCAACCGGGGTGCTTTCAAAGAACGTGCACACCGTGGTCTTCCCTCTGAGCTTCGTGCAGCATTTCTTTGTGGGTTTAGGGTTTAGGGTTTAGGGTCTCGCAAGGATTTTGGGGTTCAGCGTTCTGGTTTCGGTTTGTTTCGGAGCTTTGGGTTTGCATTTCAGGGCTTGGGCTTAGGGGTTGAATTCAAGCTCTGCCTCGCAATAGCCGACAGTAGCCGTAGAAGTCTAATCGCAGCAAGGTGGAGATGGCGGTAGTATTCGGCAAAATCAAGCAAGGAGGTTGGGTGTGTTCAACGCCCCCCAAACCCGTAAACTACATCATAAACGCGGAACCCCATGGGACAACGGCCACTGTCGTAGCACGGTGCGATGTAGGGTAATGCAATTTCTCATACAACAGGGTAGAGTTTCGGGTTTATACAGTTACGGCCAGAGCCAGAGCTGTTAGAGACTATCCTTGCTGTTTGTTGTTTTTTGAGCTCAGGGTTCCGCAGGTTGAAAGTTTAGAGTTCAAGCTCCGTGCAGGGCTCCTGGCTGTGTCAGGAATGTATTCACCATGGGCCTGACGGACTTCGCGGAACAGCGCCAAAATACGAACCATGCGCTGTGCCTTGGACGATCCTGAACGCAACAGAAACGCTGCATAAAGCTGAGTCCCAAACGGTATTATCGATTTGCCTAAGACCTATACCCGAAACCCTAAACCGCTGAATCCTACAAGCCCTAATTTAAAACCAAGCTTAAAGCCCCAACCCCAAAACCCTAGTTAAACCCCAAGTCCGAGAAGCCTTTCCCTACCTTTGAAGCCAACACCCCGAACTCTCCACGTTGATTTGTGCGTGGAGCTTAGAGCTTGAATTCTCCGGTTGCCGTTTGAGGCTTCATGGGCTTGGGGTAGGGTCTAAGTGTACTTAGGGTGCTCGGAGAGTCGTGCTTTTGGGTGTAGGGTTTTCGGGCTTTTGCAGTGCTTCAGATTAAGCTCAGCGGCTTTTGTCCTTCACCCAAACCCCGGTACACGGCAGACAGACTTCATGAAGGGCACCTGGAAACAGTTAACCTGCAAACCCCACACAACAGGAAGTGTGCACAGCGATACAACGCCTAATGTAATGAAACTTCTGACTCGCTTGTGCTGACTAGAACTATAATGCTTAGTACTGTTGGCAAGTACGGTTCTGATTTTGTTGACCGTGTTATGTGGATTTTAAAGGCTGGTACATGGGCTCCTATATAGTTCACGAGCAAGAGCCCTGCCTACTGTTACGTAACAAATCGAGAAGTCATTTCGAAACTGAGAGGATGGTTGTGTTGCACGGTTTTGGTGCTGGGGTTGGGGGGAGCGGGGGTGGAGTGGGGGTGGAGCGTCTGGGTTCCTCATAAGGTTTATCACCTACGTCGTTGCCGCAATCCTGTTCTTGATCCTTGTGCTCCGGGATGTGCTCATCCAGCTACACCTCACCTCGCTGCAGAAGCCATGGTCGCTAGGTACGATGTGTAGAGTTTGTGGTACCGTAGGTGTTCCAATGCAGGAGTCGGGGAGTATCCAACATGATATCTTCCCCCAATATTCGATACTGCCTCAAACTCTAAGCCCTAAGCGCAATAGGCTCCGTAGTATTAGGACCCACCCTTAGTTTCCGAAACTCTAAGCTGCGAGGAATCGGATACAAGGCTGGCCTCACCAAATGTTTCGGCACCTTCCAGGTTGTCTCATGTTCTATGTTCATTCGGGTTTCGGTGTCTGGAGTATCGACCCAAGCCACGCAGAGACAAGGCATCGAGCAGCCTAGCAATCCTGTATGTCACTGAACGGTTGTGAGTTGCGCATTGCCACCTGTAGCAAAACTCGTCGACAACTGTTGGAATTGAGTTCACCTAAGAGCACTTTGTTTGTCTGACTTGTTGCGTTGACATGCAATATGTTGGGTCGGAACGGCGTGCAATGCACTTTCGTCGTCTGTACGGTGGATAACTCGGACAACTGTTTTGTTTTGTCAACCTTGCTTGTCAAGATTTCTTTCATTTTCCAGTCAGGAACCCTATAGGGAGCATCATTCGTAGTTGTTGACGCCCTCTAGCCTATGCATCTCGATGTACATGTTCAGGTATATGTTCATCCTTGACTTCTTCTTGGACGACGTGTGGAACTTTCTAGACATCATAGTTCTGGTGGTTAATGGGTTGGTGATTGACAGCATCTTCCGCTACATGCTGATTGACGGTTCCTTTGACTTGAGAAATGGCTTTCAATCCTGGACAGACAACTTTGTCTTCCTTGGTACTGCCAGCCTGGAAACTCAAGACGCCTACGAAGCCTTCGGCAAAGCTGCAAGACTGTGACCCGATTGCCACGTGATTTTGATATTTCGCTAGGCGGTGAGTCAGATTCCCAAAAATCACAGAAAATGGTAGTTATGCAAAGTTCTCTTCTAGAGGAACCCGTAACTCTAGATCCCAAAGACAGGTACGACACCTTCATCACGCTCTCCTCCTTGAACGGCCTCGTCTTGCTCCTTCGTTTCGCCAAGTACTTCCGTTCCGTGAGTTCTCTACGCCTCGTTCTGACCACCTTGACGGCAGCGCTGCAAGAGCTCTTCATGAGCCTTGTCTTCCTTCCAGGGTTTCTTCAAGGGTATTACTGTGTCATAGTTGGGTAACATTTTACATTGTTATGGGTACTTAAACCAAATAAGGAATACAAACGTACATGTTTAATCCTCTCCCGACCCTGAACTAGTAACTAGATTATAAGGGTACTATAGTAGTCGAGTCTCTGAAAGGTTCTACCAGAGGCTTGCTTTTAAGGTCAGTGTTTGCGGTTTAGGTTATCCGTCCCCCTCCCTCTCCATCATGTTGTTTTCTTCCTTCAGCAGTTCCTGTTGTGTGTGTGTGTGCGCGTGTGGAAGAGGCGGCTGTAGATTCGGGGGGGGGTAACCATATTATATTATATATATATATATATAGAGAGAGAGAGAGAGAGAGAGAGAGAGAGAGAGAGAGAGAGAACGAGTCGGGGCCAGTGGGGTGCTGAAGAACCGAGGATCTCTGCGCTGATTATCGTCGTGCTGGTAGCCGTGGTTTTGCTCATGCACAATCGCTTCGGCGTGATCTTCCACAGATCTCCGGTTTATGTTGGGCTTTTGGCATCTGAACAAAACCCCTAAGCCCCAGCTGGGCTTTGGGATGTCAACGGGGATGTACAGGTGTTGGCCTTCCCAAATCAGGGTTTTACCGCCTGTGAGGCGTGGCGGTGTCATGATGTTTTCGGACATATGCAAGGTGGAGCTAGCCTAATAACTGTGATATATACAATACATAATCGTATGATTTCCCTGAACGCATAATGAACCCTAAGCTCCCGGCCTTGAGTCATAAATTCCCTCAAATTAAATTTCAATCGCTTACACTAGCTTGCAAACTTCGGGCCTTAAATCTGGAAAGTCAAGGATACGGGACCCTGGAGAGTTCCAGTCAGTCCGTGTTTTTCTTCTTGACGGGCTCTTTCGACACAGCTGACCTCTATGGAGCATTTCCGATCTTCTTCCTCTTGGTCACGATCTTGTTCCAGATATCCTTCTTGCTCATCTTGAACCTGCTCATTGCGGCGATCATCTACCGGTGGAAGGATAGCCGACGTGACGCCGAAGATTTCTCCGTCCTCAGCTTTTGGACCACTTTGCGCGACAATGTCAATGTTTTCAAGGCGAACAAGGCGGGTGGCAGAAGCCACGACGAGAGGCATCTGAAAAAGCTGGACCCCGCGTTCTGGCGAAATCTCGCGGTTCTCAGGCACATCGACAAGTTGGACGAAAGTGGCAAGATCAACTTTAATGCCGATCACCGATCGGAAAGCCCCAAGGCAAAGAGAGAGGAGGAAGAGAATCGGGAAAGAGATGATGAGGAGGCAACGCTATCAAAGTAAGCCTTCAGTTTCGGCATCCCGAAACCCTGAACCCTAAACCGGAAAGCAGATCCTTGGGCTCATTCTAAAGCGGAGCCACCCCGGCCCAAGACACCAGGCCTCTTACGACGAGGAGGCTGGCATACTGGACTTTAGCAACCCGCAGGACCAGCACAGGCTTCATGGCTTTGCAGATTTGGAGCTTGGTTTCGGGCCGATGGTTCGCCTTTCGGTTTAGGGTTTGGCGGTTTAGGGTAGGGTTCAGGGTTCAGGGTAGTTGAAGAAGCAAGCCTAGAACCAGAGCCATACCAGTTCGGAGGGGACATCATCGCAGGGCTTACAGCTTACGTGTGCATGAAGCATCAGAAATGTATCTGCCGACTACGAGGTTCATCACCGTCTTCAAGAAAGCACACATGGAAACTCGGCTCGAATGCATCTTGGGTTCTTTTCCCGTCTCCTCGTAGTATTCTAGCAGAGCAGAAATCCATGCTCAGTCTGAAACATCAAACCGCCGAAGCCTAATAACCACAAACCTGAAAGCCCCAGATGTCCAAGGAGATTGCTTCACAGATGACGAAGGATGTAGTGACGCCCGACGAAGAGGCCGAAAAGAACCACGCCGCCGGCGTGGGAAGCCTGGAAGACAAGCCAGACACCTGGACCACTTCTGAGTGCTATCGGGGGTCCCCCAACGGTATACTAAGGGCGAAATTGGGGGGCGGGTTTAGAACTCAGAGTTTAGCGATTTCTCTGCTTAGGGCTTCAGGTTTGACATGAGTGCGAGGTTTTTGGCATGTAGGAGATGTGTACTCCGCTCCGAAAACTCGTTTGCGAAAGACAGCCGTTCGAACTGACCACGGGTATACAAGGCATTGTCTGTAGATCTGTTGTTCTGAACAGGCGCGGTTGTCACCCAGCATAACACCCGAAAAGCTGACATTCAGAGTCCGAGACAACTGAGAACAAGACCAGCTGACGGCGTGCACACCATTTGCCAAGCTTGCTTCAAGTTTCGCACAGGGGCAGATTTCCATCGGTAGTGAGGGGTCAGCGTCATAAGCAAACACGAGCCTTAGCTTGGGTGCGTGCTTGCATTATGCTCGACTTTGTCTCTGTATCGCCCCTTTTTGCTTTCAGTCGAGCCCTAAGGATCCGATTACTCAACTAATTCGTGGGATATTCGCCATATAGATTATGTGCCCCACTAAACGTACCCTATTGTTTAGATGAATGGAGCCCCAGGGAAACTCAAGGCTACCATCATGCAGCCTCTTACTCTTAGTTAGTTTGCGACGCAGGTCTCTGGGAGCTTTCGAGATGTTCGCTCCTTCTTTGGATCAACATGAGAGTACGTGGCTCATAAAGTAAGTGTCAGGGAAGTTTTCGAAGTGTCGAGGAGGGCCCCTGTAGCCAAGGAATTGATGGATCTCCAGGCACATGTGGAGAAACGCTGGGAGCAGGACACGAGTGAAGGGCATGTCTCTCTCCAAGACAGAAGGGCTTCGACATTGCGAGGCTTAGGTTTTGCGGCGTGGTGGGTATAGAGCTCAAGGCCACTGCGTTCTATCCGGGTGTCGTGGGTGCAGGTCTTGTGCTTGCCAGGGGTGATCGAGCGGGTTTGAAGCTGGTTGGTTTCGAAACTTATCATTAGCGCTTGAGATGAATGGGGCGAGCCGTTGAACCCCAAACTCAGTAGGGATTGCCCAGAGTCCCCATTTACCTTTAGCACTAAGCCAGGAAATGGAAGCAGAAGCGCTTGGAATCGTCGAAGATCTCCAGGCGCCAAGCACGGCGCAGACGATCCAAGACAATCTGAATCATGGCAGTAATATATTTATGATTTAGGGTTTAGGGTTATATTCACAATAGATCCAGTGATCGTCCCTTTTCGACCACATTACACCCCGAAACTCTAGTCTAAGTATTACGGCTCCTGCATCAGCTACCAACGACTTCAACAACTCAACAACCAGGGTTTAGAGGGTCCGGGTTTTGGGTATAGGTTCGACAGGACTGGGAGTTCATGCAGTGCTAGGACCTAGAGTAGGCCCCTTATTCCCTTTTGTAGGACCAGGTTCCATTATAAGCCCCTTTAAGCCCAAACGGGCACCCTTTTACATTCCTAGGTTCCTCTAAGGTCTAGAGTTGGGTCCCCTTGTATGGGCCGTTGTGTAGTACAGTATGATTCTGAAGGCTCCAAAAATCATTGCCAGTCCGCATTTGCAAGGGTCCTACATGGCTCAGTCTACGCCCTCAACACAAATCCGAGGAGCTAGGCCTTCAACCCTCGAAGGTCTCATAAGTTAGGCCTTGGGGCTTAGAGCTTTTATCTTCAACCTTTAGGCCTGAACCCTAGACTCGAAGCCCTGTAAGACTGAAAAAGCAACTTGCTTCCTTCACAACCCTAAACCCTAAACCCTAAACCCTAAACCGCTCAATCCAAAGCCCTGACCTCCTGAACCCGAAAGCTCCCGAATCTCGTGACGAAGCCCCACATGGGTGGTTGCTCAAAACTAGGGTCCCCTTTTGGGGTACCCTAATTATTAGGTGCCGTACTATATTAGGGACCCAAAAAGGGACCATAATTTTGACCACCACCCACATCTCGGAATCCTGATATCCTGGCTCCCTACTCCCCTGAACTTACTTCTTCCATTCTTTGGTTGGTAGAGAATGGAAGAATGGTAGTAATAGTAGTTATACTTGTACCCCATTCCTCCATTCCTTTCTAACCAAAGCTAAGTAAATCACTCCTAGCCCTTAAACCGCGAGACCCGAAACCCTAAACCCTACACAGAGCCCTGCAGCCTGAACTTTACAACCGCTTTCGGGGGCAAACAGTGTAGCACAACAGAGGGACACCTAGGAATCGCGAGCTGGAGAAATCGAGCCACCCCGCAGAGGCATCCCGGTCTTTCGGAATTTGGGAGAGTTTAGGTGGTTTGAGAATATTTTTAGGTTTTAACGTTTACTGGTTTACTGCTTTCTAGCGTAAGGCTGCTTTTCAGTTATCGTTCATTTGTCCTTGACTGCAGTAATGGTTCGTCAACAAGCCTGACGTAGGCATCTTACTTTCAAGCAATATCTGGGGAGTCCATCTGTCTGCTGCCGGTTTGGAATTCCGTTGTTAAGTTGAGGGCCTTCAAGTTTCTGGTGTTTACCTTGTGTCTGTCATTTTCATTCGAGCATGCTGCACTCCTGAGAGCCTTGGATCAGTGACAAAGCCATTCGGGCACGGTTCCTGTTCAGACGTGACAAAACCGTCCCAACTAAGTCCCTTTTCGGCAATCCCCAATAGTACCCAATAGCTAACCCTCTGAGCCCTGAACGGGGGCATCCCATGCTGCAGCTGCTAGCTGTAGTCGACATCCCGCCAGGACTCGAAATCCACCGGAGAACAGTCGGAGTGTAACACAAGCCGCTCGCAAGCCCTCCTGAAACGCCTTCACCAGACCTAAATTGGCTCCACAAGACACCGTACCTGTGACGCGACCAATGCCCAAAACCCTAAACTCGGGTACCCTGAACCCTCAGTAGTGGCCCTAAAGACCTAAAGTATAAAAGATAAACAGTTATAAACACCAGTCGCCAAAACATAACCCTAAGAGAGAGGCCTAAAGCCGTGGGAACCCCCAGGAGATCTGGCTGGATGCTTTGCTGACAGTCTTGGAAGATGCAAACGCGCCTTGCACAGAGTACAAGCGTGTAGGGCTTGGGGATGTAGAGGTTTTGGGGTCTCAGGTTAGAGGCTTATACGGTTTAGGGCCCCTGAGGTTTGGGGTGCAGGATTCTGCGTTTAGCAATCGAGTCGGTGGCCAGTAAGCTGCGTAATTAACCGACCGCGCTTGGGGCCAGTGAACTAACCCTCGTGCGTCGATACCGGTCTGAAGCGACCCTCGCCGTAAGCATTTCCGAAGCTTACATCCCTAAGCCTTTGCGAATCCTCTACCCGAAGCAAGAGTAGGTGTTTCAGCCGGTTGACCCCTCACCTTAGACCTTGGAACTCTAAACCCTAAGATCGGGCCCAGACTCCTTATACAC